CACACACACTCTCTCTCTCTCTCTCTCTCTCTCTCTCTCTCTCTCTCTCTCTCTCTCTCTCTCCCTCCCTCTCTTTTTCTCTCTTTCTCTCTCTCCCCCAATGAAATGCAGCCATGCACGCTGTATTCTCACTTGAATTCGAAAGAAAACAACTCCAGGCTGTAGCTAGGCAACTCTAAAATGTGAGTCATCCAACTGCCGCACCCATAGTCTACTGAGCTACACACACGCGCACACACGCGCAGTTTAGGATTGACACTCGTGAATTCTTCAAATATAGCAAAACTCAATGTGCATCGTTGTCGTTCTCACAACCAACTAACTGGCATGATATAAAAGAACATAGCGGACCCATCTTGACGACATGATGACGACAGTATGATCAAGGCTTGGCTTTGGCTTTGTCTGATTGTCAGACAGTGGACAGCAGTGTGATCTTATAATAATAATAATAATAATAATAATAATATCAAGTTCAACGTCATGCTAATACAGTACAATAATAATTTCCACTTCGCGGTCAATGGGAGTTTAAAGGGATCATCCAGCGAGGATCGTCCATTTCTCACAAAAAAGCTATTTATCATTAGTTTGTTTGAAAATTAAAATTTTATTTTGAAAGTATGAGCTTGCGTTTTCAATTCCATTATTTTGTTTCGGAGAAATCACTAAATAAATAACTTTCAAACCGCCGGTTGGAAATGAGCAACCTTGTACTTATGTATACCGTATGGCGATAGATTGATAAAATGCAATAGGACGCCCTCTAGCGGACAAAAGGGAGCATTAGAATGTATCCCATTTTATTTCCGTTTTCAAACATGGTTTGATCTCATTCAATAATTGGTGAATTCATTGATTAGAAATAATGAAATAAAATCGGAGTAAAATGAACACATTTATTCCTAGCTGCGACTGAGAATTGCCACAGGTGTTTTATCCTGCCCTCCAAAGTTTTCAGATATTTAAATAATGCCTGTTGATTTCAGCGCAGCTGTTATCTGACTTAGTTGCCTTTTGCCCGCGCGTCTAAATGTAAACGTTACATTTCCTCTTGCTTTCCCTTAGACAAATCCTTGAGCAGCTACCATCCCGAGGCCCACCTGCCTCTCGACTTCATGCAAGGAAGACGAGTATATTTGGAAGTGAGAATGCAGCTCCATACAGCAACTACATGCTCATCGACAAAGGGTAACGTTACGGCAGAGTCATGTAATTGACAAATATTCTTGTCCAGGTTTTGCTTTTCAAGACAATTTTATTTGCTGTTTCGTGTAGATTCGCCGTCCTTTTCGACATTAACATTGTAGCAATTGTCAAGCCTTGTGTACATAGCAGGGATAGTTCATCCATATGATCTTACAAAACGTGTGTGTGTGTGTGTGTGTGTGTATGTGTGTGTGTGTGTAAAATGTTCCCCCCAAGCAGTGAAGTAATTTTGTGGAAGCCCATTTGATTGATGCAAAATCAGATTCCTGTTCAGATTTTGTCATGAATTAGCACTTGTTAAATTAAAGACACAAAAATCATGACATTAATATGAAGTAGCAGTTTATTTATAACAATATAGTCCAAAGCAAAGTTTCAAAGACAAAAAGAACATTCATGGAAGGCAGCAGCAAGTCTTCAACGGGAAGAGCGCCCCCAGACGAAGAAAAAAACGTAACGGGTATGCTGCTAGCAAGGTTTTGTTGTTCTTTGTCAAATTTGACCTTCACAAAAATCCAAGACTTTGTACTTCAACAAATCCCCGGTTACACAAAAGAAAACAAGTTGTCTAACTACTACCAAAGCAGATGGAATACTTTTAGACACATTTGAGAGAGTCATTTTTAGTCAAAAATGGTGACACTAGCTAGTTTTTCACCTGACATACGTGTTAAGAAATCAGTTGTTTCAGTGAAAGGGGTCTGATATGGTACGACACAGATCCCCCCCCCCGAGAGAGTAATTTTCAGTCACAAATGGTGACACTAGCTAGTTATTCACCTGACATACGTGTTAAGACAGACATCAGTTGTTTCAGTGAAAGGGGTCTGATATGGTCCGACACAGATTCCCCCCCCGCCCCCATCCCCAAAACAGCATTTAACTGGTTAAAACAGCTCAGTGCTTCAACTGCCCGTGTGGCTTTCCTCATGTCATCTGAACCGTAAATCCCATTTTGACATGATAAGTGGTGATTCCGAGCAAGCACTTGCATATCAAAGGACTGAATCTGTCAAGATGGCCATTACAGTTTTATGCTGGTTGGGAATGAAATGGAACTCTCCACCTAGTAAGCAGCGCAGTAGCGGGCGGAGGCGGCCGTGTAGTCTTTCTTGATCTGTTTCAAGAGGATAATGGTGCACACCAGTGCAATAATCTGGACACAGAAAGGAGAGGGGGGAAAAAGCAAGGGTGGATGAAGCAATGAATGAGCCAGCCCCAGCTTTTGGAAGCCCAAGTTAAACCTGTAGAACAAAGAGTGAAAAGACTGAAGTTTGGCCTTGGGTATACAGTCATCCCTCGTTTATTGCGGGGTTGCGTTGCAAAAAAAAAACCCCGTCATAAGTGAAATCCGCGAAGTTGTTGTCTTTAATTTGTGGTCAAGCTCTACAGCAATGAGGCGTGGAGACTGTTGACATTCGTCTACAATCCCTGAGCCAATCAGGAAGCAGAACACATCGCACTGTTTAAAAAAAAAAAAGGAACGAAAAAAATCTGGGAAAAGCGAAACCATGAACCGTGATATAGCGAGGGATTACTGTACATTGTTTTTGGGGCGCTAACCAGGAGCAGAGTGCAGCGATGGCAGATGATGGAAAGGAAGGAAAATGATTGATATTTGAATGGAAAGGTGAAAGTGGAGTTTAAAATGTACATACAAGTGCTTGCAGCGCAGGGCCTCGTGTATTTGATTATCTTAACGTTTGAAAGTGAAGGGCAACCCTCCATTGATTTTTGATGTCGAATTCCCACGATTCCGTCTTTAACCCGCAAAATTGTTTGTGCATGCGTGACAAGTAAAAACTATTTATTTGGAGTTATGGTTTATTTTTAAAAAAAAAAAAAAAAAGTGTAACATGTCTACAATCCCTGAGCCAATCAGGAAGCAGAACACATCGCACTGTTTAAAAAAAAAAAAGGAACGAAAAAAATCTGGGAAAAGTGAAACCATGAACCGTGATATAGCGAGGGATTACTGTACATTGTTTTTGGGGCGCTAACCAGGAGCAGAGTGCAGCGATGGCAGATGATGGAAAGGAAGGAAAATGATTGATATTTGAATGGAAAGGTGAAAGTGGAGTTTAAAATGTACATGCAAGTGCTTGCAGCGCAGGGCCTCGTGTAGTGTATTTGATTATCTTAACGTTTGAAAGTGAAGGGCAACCCTCCATTGATTTTTGATGTCGAATTCCCACCATTCCGTCTTTAACCCGCAAAATTGTTTGTGCATGCGTGACAAGTAAAAACTATTTATTTGGAGTTATGGTGTATGTTTAAAAAAAAAAAAAAAAAGTGTAACATGAGCAGACTAAGCCTATCACGCAGTGGTGTTGACTGCTGTGAGAGGAGTGAAACTGATCAGTTCTTGGTCAGGGATTGAGCCGGAGACAAGTTCATGCTCGGACACATTAGGCAGGGATGGAGAAGCGTTGGTCAAAATGATGTAATGAGGAGAAGATGAGCTGGACACGCCGAGCTTCTCACTGAGGATCGCGCTACATATTAGAGCAATGATCTTTGTCCAGGGGGATGAAGGGTGGATTGGGGGGGGGGGAAAGAAAATTGGCACATTAATTGGCATAGGAAAATGGCATCTCCACTCTCGTCTTCGTCCCTCCTCCTGCGTGCAAAAGCTCCCCCTCTCTGCCCAGGCCGAGCGTGTGCGCACTGCCATTGATCTATTTTTGCTCGCGGCGGGCCGGTCCCCACCCGTGGGTTAATTCATACAATCCGAGATTTCATTTGCTTGATTTAAAAAAAAAATTTTAAATCATCTTACCAAAAGAGCTGCGATTCCAATGAAGACGCCCATCACTATTGGTGCGTTATTGATAAAGAAATCGGAGATAACGCCAGGACATGTCTGAAAGCAAGTAGCAGAAATTAAGCCACACCTGGACAAAAGATTTTGGCCCACCCATGATCTCCAAAGGGGGCTATCTTACAGGCATGGCGATGTTTTCCAAGAACCCTTTTGGCGCAGGGCATGTCTCTTGAACAGCCTCCAACACCGTGATGCCTGTCACGCCGCAGCAATGTAACTACACAATGGAGGAAGATCAAGTCAAAGCAAATGAGCTCGAAACACTGCCAAGTAAGAACATTTCAACAACTTATTCCAAATATTTTCTCCGCATACAGGTAAGCGATATCGACTCCGCTCAAATCAACAAGCAGCAATCATCTGTTCCTACGACTACTACAAATAACTAGTATTTTCGTAATAAATGACGCAAAGTTTTTTTTTTTTTAGTTTGATAAATTGTTGATGGGCGGCACGGTGCAGAGGTGCGGGGTTGGATACCGGCTGCGACCTTCCTATGTGGAGTTTGCATGTTCTCCCCCGTGCCTGCGTGGGTTTTCTCCGGGTACTCCGGTTTCCTCTCACATTCCACAAACATGTGTGGCAGATTAACGGAGCACTCGAAATTGTCCCACGGTGTGAGTATGAGCGCGGATGATGGTATGTCTATGTGTGCCCTGCGACCAGTTCGGGGTGTCCCCTGCGTACTGCCCGATGATAGCTAGCATAGGCTCTGGCACTCCCCCGCGACCCTTGTGAGGGTAAAGCGAATCGGGAAAATGAATGGATGGAAATTGTTGAAGATTCTCTACTTCAAGAATTACGACCAGAAACGGTACAGAACATAAGACGGCATAAACAAAGCGGCATTTGGGAGGTTCTCACCATCTCATGAATGAACAACAATGTGAGACCAAGGCCAATGTCGCTCCTGACAGTAAACATAGTATAGATGCTATTGTAGAACTCCACAACTTTGACCGCGACCTTCAAATCACAGGAAAAAAAAAAATGGGTGGTTAGTAAAAGTGAAGTGCATGACTCCATTTCTATTGGTGACGCCGCAGGTACCTGTTTCCTGTTGGTGTAAGCCAGCACTCCAACAGCAATCTCTGCAACCGCCAGGATGAACAAGAGAACGGAGAACTGAAAGAAGAAGGTGAGATTGATCATCATCATCTGTTGAGGATGGCTTCACATTTTTTTCTCCACGTCATTCGAGTCATGGTATTCATTTCGCCGTGTTGTGATTGTGGTGACGGTTTGAGTGGCGTAGAATAGCACCGCATCATACTGAGAGCAGTTTTGTCATGCCAGTAGTCCTCTCCCTTTAACTTCGACTTTCACCTTCACTTTCAGATGCCTGTAATATTAGCGGAGCAGCCCGCTGACACTCGACCTTGTTCCAAGTTTTATCAAGCGTGCGGGGGAGAGAAAAGGTCAGTGAAAACGCGATGAAGAATAAAGCTCTCTCACACAAATGTGGTAAGTTGACCAGCTGTACTTTCCGAGGCTCGATAACCGCGTATGTGGCCTTGAAAACAAGATAAGCATTCTCTCTGTGAAAGCCTGGCAAAAATCATTGGGAGTTTCTCGGACATATTGGCGTTTTGAAGGAAATCGGAGCACAGCAAAGTTGGAATATGTTCTTTGCCGATTTATTTCGTGTCACTATCACGGTGACGCAAGTTTTAGATCATGTCAACTGAACCACCGAGTCTTGTAATTGTCATCCTTTGGGTATTTTGTCTTGAGAATGTCGGAGACCTCTTAAGAAGCCTGCGAAGCGTGCTGAAATGTGACGAACGGCATACATATTTTAGATGAATTGGAATTCATTTTTGAGAACTTTTTTTGTTCTTTTTTTGTGGCCGTCACAGCGTCCCCGCTGACATGCACTACTTGCACCCTAATAACAGATTTGTGAACAGCAAAGAGCTACTTTTCAAAAACAGTCAGCGGAGCCAAATTTGCGATTTTGGTCTGCATCTTAACCTTCCTGACCCCATTTTTCAAAAAAAAGGCAACAAGCACGTTAAATTTCACACATTCATTTTCACATTCGCGCTGAACCACTGCTGGGTTGTAGGTTCTTTTTAACCCAGCGAATGTGGAAATGAAACCCGTATTGGGTTATTTTCAAAAAATCTCACCAACTGGAGAGCACATTTCTTCTTACTGCAGGCCCCGTATTCTCCGACCATAACCACCAGCAGCATCACTGTGCCAAGCACGATCAGTAAAATCACACCTTGAATCAAAAAAAGAGAGAGCAAAGTTGAGGTCAACGAAAATCGGATTTGATTGAAAAGATGTGAGCATCGGTTCACAAACTAATGAGTGCCGTTACAGAACGCCATATATCAAGATATGTAACGAATTGTCTTTTAAACACCAAACTCACCAGTCGCAAATGTGCCGGAGTCGTTGATCGCAAAGAGCAGTTTGGTGCTCTCACTGAACCTCAGCCACAGGCCCAGGCCCAAAAGGGCAAAGCCCAGCACCTTCAAAGCAAAAGCAGAAAAGAACATGTTGCTGTGGCAGCTTGTAAAGGAATTTATTCTTTACTCTGATTTCCTAGCCCCTCTCTGTTGCTGGATCTGTTTAAACCCTTGAAAGCAAGAATGTCGTATGCTGTTGAGGGTATATCCTGCTTACTGTGATTCCAATCACCTTTAGTGCCCCCTTCACCCCCACCATTTTTAGGACCCCTCCAGAGGACGTGTTTAGCATCAAAAGGGGAACTGTTAGATCAAGTATCTGCGTTGCTGCCGTCACATCAAAGCTCAGACCGAAGAAAATAGGGGGTAGTGGTGGTCTGGTCTCACCTCACCACTCCCAACTTTTTCCAGCCGCATCGGGTCAGATGTGAAGCCGTTATTTAGCGACGAGCATTATCAGCCTGACAGCATATTTTGACTTAGGACGTGACCTCGTTTTGAACCTGATGGAATGCCCTCGCGTTGAACTGCCTTCGCGACGAGACTATTCGAGACAACATTGCAGACGAACACCAGACAACGCTGTGCATGCATCCCCCTTTACTGACTTGCGGTTTCACACCCAAGGTCTTAATCAAACCTGCAAGAGACAAAAGTGCTGCAACAGTTATTTGTAAACAAAAGTATTGGAAAAGTTTCTAAGTAAACGAGAACATTGGGACAGTTTCTAAGTATACGAAAGTATTGGGACAATTTTTAGGAAAACGAATGCACTGCAACAGTCATTTGGAAAACGAAATTGAAATATCAATTGAAAGCTATGCCCGCTTTGAATATATATAAGACTTGTCTTGGGATATTGTTTTTGCGCATTTGTGCTCTGATCACAACCACTGTTTGTATCACACTTGTGCCCGTAACGTTCTGATAAAATTTTCTTGAAGCAACTTCTCCATTTCCAGCCTGTGATTTCACACATCAACTCAGCCCGAATTCAAATGAACACCCCCAACAGGTAACATGTTAATTTCTTTGTTTCCGGGATTTGCATGAAGGCGTAACTGCTCGCCTCTCATTATCATATTGTCTTTATGTATACTTGTGACTGGATTATTCCGGCGCTTTTCTGATGAAATCTGAAACTCTCAGAAGCTCCAATCGATTCGTGTTGTGTTGTGATCAACTGCAGAAAAGACCATGTGGTGTTGGGTCTTTATTCCGCCTGATAGAGAGAGGAAAAAACCTGTGGACAACCTAAGGAAAGGGACAGCTCCCCCACCCTCTTGTGTATTCACAAATTGATCGCTAGCTTTGTTTTTTGTATGTCAGTTTACAATATTATCAAAGGGAAATTCTTTTGACAATTTGTTTCCCTCTAAGTCAGGTAGTGTGCAAGTAAATAAAGGAGAAATAGTTTTGGTTTTGCCAAGTTCTCAATACTAGTACATACATTTCAGAATCTGTTCTTTTTGTTCAACTTTTACTTCATTTAAGTATCTTGACGGTGTGTAGTTTTACTCAACGGGTGTGAGTACTTATTTAATACTATTCAAATGCTGCACGTCGAAGTAGGGAATATACGTAGTTGCTGTGAATTTTACAATATTTTACCGCAAAATGATGCGGCAAGTTAGTGCAAATGGTTTTACCCACAATGCATTGCCGGACACAGTTAAACATTGTAAAATGGTAAAACAAGGAGATACTGTGGATTTTACATCAATTTGTTCCAGTGTATGTGTTTTATTTAAGACTTTTTGCATTGTGTCTCGGTTTTTAGCCCAACGAGGCGGAAGGAAAACTTGGCACCGGTATGAGTTGCTTTTCTCCAGAAACGAAACTAACCGAGCAGTCAAGCCCGCCCACCCTTTGTTAACTCTCTCGAACATCATTATGTATATATTTTGGGCTAGATTACTGATCCAATTTTCAATAATCCCAGAAATAACTTCTGGTGAGTTAATATGTGTACGAACGTAAAGTGTTTTTTGTAGATGCCGTATTACAAAAACGAACGTGGAAAGGCGATCACGTTCCAAGCAAAAACAGGCACCGATGGTCTGAGTAGAGTTCAGACTTACCGAAAAAATCGCGTTGAAGAAGAAGATGATATACTGGCACACGAGGCCACATCCGTCCAAAGCCATGGTTCAAAACGACGGGACGAGTCTGAAAAGCGTTGGAATGTGAGCCGCGGTAATCGCATCAATTGTTTTAACGGTTCACACGTTGAAAATGCGCATGCATGCTTGCGTCCCGTCCAATGAAATGACTTGGCTTATTCGCACACAGTGTTACAAAGACGCGTACGCACTAAACGGACAAAAACCATCAATATTTGCCGTGCATCATCTGGTCATTAAAATAGTCTCCGTGTTTCCTCCAACATACCCGTGCGAGGAGGACAGCGTGAGCAGACGACTCCGGAACTCACCCCAAAAAATTTGTTCTGTGAACTGTAAATACTGTATTCTAACAAGCGAACGGGAGCACAAATACCGACCTTTTAAGATGTGTTCAATGGTGGGATAGGTTGAGCCACTTGGACCGACACAAAACAAAACCGAGACGAAAGATTCTGTGGGAGAGCGAGGGGGGGGATGTGCATGGGGGAGGGTCCAACAGCAAAAACGGAATTGAAGGAAACAGTCCCTCGTGGTAGTTCTTTATCTATTTATTTATTTTAAATTGTGAAAGCCCTTTTAAAATTGTTCACTTCTCAGGAAATGAGTGCGCCAAACTGTTTTTCGGTTTCTTTTCTGAACAAAAGCTCTGACATTCTACAAGTAGTAATAAACGGAGGTAGTTACAACTTTTAGGAGGTGGCTTTTGAAATTATTTGAAATTTGTATTTAAATTAATGTAGAGTTGTTTTTGAACTGGCTACTGAATAAATTTCCCTCTTGCTCGGATTTTTTGGTTTATAATGTATTTGAATTGTTCATGACCCACAAGTACAAAGAATAGTACAAAATAAATGGACGGCTTAGTCTGGTGGTTCACTTCCCTGACTGAAACTGAGGTTTGGCTGAAAACCTGAATATGTTCCATTGCAGGGTTGAAAAGAAGATACAGTATTCATGCCTCTCATTCACTCTGCCCTAAATCCAACAGTCGTCTATACACCTCGGAAGATCATTATTGCAGAGACCCTAAGTCTTAGGGCCGAAGGTCAGATCGGTCCCAAAATATGTGCAAAACATCTGGTCCAGTCTTCACGCAAATCCTCAACTCCCAAAGTTACTCTTGGAGTCCCACGTCCTCATGTCATTCGCCAAAAAGTCTGTCATCACAAGACTGAATAGTGCCAGGACTGCTGCGCTGGTGTCTAATGTCATGAGGTCATTTCAACAACTAAAGTTGCATCACGTGACACTGATTTGACTCTCTGGCACTGCTCCACAAGAGAGCCTCTCTCAAATGAAGGGAAAGTTCGAATTGCATAAGTCAACTAAGGTTTTCAGTATCTTCAACAGGAGCACATTTTCATTTTGTAAAAGGCCTTTTTTTATTTGTTGTGATTATCATGAATTTACTTTGTATATGTGTAAGAGGGTGTTACTGCCATTGGCTCCTGAGCAAGATTCATAATTTTAACATGGCTCTTGAGGCTAGGTTATTAAAGGACATTTACAAAGTTATCCTGAAACCACTCCTTCAATAGCTTGGTTGTGTGCTCACAGTCAATGTCCTCCTTCAAGATGAACTGTCACCCCAGTCGCCTCCAATCGCACAGTTTGGATGAGCGGCTAGCTCAAGGAAAAGTTCCGGTGGTTCCAAATTTCTCCAATTTGTGGATGATGGAGGCCACTGTGATGGGCACAGTGGGACCTTTCAGTGACAGGCATCGTCCCGTAACATTCACCAGGTCCTTGCTCTTCCCCTGTACTTGTTTTCCTCGGGTACTCTGGCTCCCTCCCACATTCTAAAAATATGCAATGCTCGATAAGTTAGGAGTTTAGAATGGGCATCAGGTCTGGGTCAAAGCACCTTATTAATTTCTGTGTGTCTTCTTCAAAATTTAATACATTTTAGGATCCACATCAAATAAATGAATGCAGGTAAAATGTTTCTATTTCACGCTCCAAAAAATGTTGCTTAAGAGCCACCAGGAGGCGCACAAATATTGCAGAAATGATGGTGCAGCGTGGACTGCACGGCTTCATTTTGTGTGCCTCTTGAAACGATATGAAAATATATTTGTTGAGGTTTTTTTTGTCGCAGCCATTGTGATTTGTTTATTTGATTATGTTATGAACAGTCCTCTCCTAAATGTTAGGATCCACATCAAATGAATGCAGGTAAAATGTTTCCATTTCACGCTCCAAAAAAATGTTGCTTAAGATCCACCAGGAGGCGCACAAATATTGCAGAAATGATGGTGCAGCGTGGACTGCACGGCTTCATTTTGCGTGCCTCTTGAAACGATATGAAAATATATTTTTTGAGTTTTTTTTTTTTGTCGCAGCCATTGTGATTTATTTATTTGATTATGTTATCAACAGTCCTCTCCTAAATGTATGAGCACACTCAGATTCAGTTAAAGCGAATTTAGGCCTAAGTGGTTTTAATTGGATTGTTTTATGTTTATAGAGGAGAAGTTCTTTTCATACAAACATGTACTGTAATTATGACTTTAAAACGGCGTTAGCGTAGGTTAATGACGGTGCGCATTTGTATTACATCGCCGCCGCACGAATGGAGCTCTGCCGTAAATCGACGACCCCCAGGAATGCGCTGCGGAGAGTATATCTTCACGTGAAAACATTCCGCTTAATAAGACAATTTATATAAAATTATACATATGTTTCACATTTAACTGAAACGTATTTCAGGTATTGTTTCGTTGTTTTATTTTTCCACTCCATATAACCACTCAAAATATTATTTTGATGAGATCGAAGCTACGAATGGAAGAGCAGTAACATAATGTAAATAATCAAATGATGTCTCGCGTTAAAATAAAATGATGGAAGAGGAAGAGGGGAGGAGAGCGGGGCCCAGAACCTCGAGACGAGCTGAGTTACAGATCTCAGACCAGTCATGATTCCCAAATCATAGCTAATAATGGGAACCAATCTGACCGTGGACCAGCCCACCCAGGCTCCCTCCTCACTAGGAGTTACGCCAAGTGGGATTCAGACCGGAGGAAATCGTGCTGGAGCCACATCCACACTCCACAGCAGCCCACGGCTTGAAGAGGCACGGACAGATTTAAGTGAAAACCTGGTAGGAGCGACACAAAGGTTTACTGAGAAAACCCACCATAAGACGCGGCAGACATTGAGACTCGGTGTCCGCGCATTAGCTGTGGACAATTTGGAACCTTTTTCTTTCTGTTCCTCCTCCTCGTATAGCGAAAGTGCTCTCACGGAGCCACGTTTATTCAGAGAGCTAGCGGAATGTATTGCTAGCGAGCTAGCTAAGGTTAGCTAGCTAATTAGCTTGTCAGACAGACAAGAGTCGGACGTGTGGTCTTCACTAAATTAGGTCACTTATTTGGCGGCGTTTGACTTGATGGAAAAAGCCGTGATCGCTGTGCTTTATCCATTATCCTGACACGGTCATTATGTTCCGCCTTGAGTAGTCTACGCCAGTAAGACACACAATAATTGCCTGAATAGATGAGTTACTAGAGTCACTTTCGTCTTATTCAACCGAATCCTTCGTTGAGGACAACGCCAAGAGGAGAAGGAAGGGGGAAAAAACGCAGCTCAACGTTTTTTTTTTCCTGAACGAAGACTCTCTGCTGTCCAATGTTAATGTCGACCGACGTTGCATCTATAATGCTACCCGTTAGTCGGGGGATAATGGACCGAGAAAGAGACATCGATACGTCAGCGGTGCCGCATACAAGCGCTGCCGGAGGTCCGGCGGCGGTCCGGGGGATGAAGCGAGGAGACCCGGAGCCCGACGCTCTTGCAGCAGCAGCCCTGACTGACCTGACCGGGGCGGAGTGCAAAAGACCAAGGATAGACGGCACTGGGAGTGTTATTGGCGAGATTGGACAGGTAAACATTCATTTGTCACCTCTACATTCCTTTGTTTGTCCGTGATTTGACAGGCCCGCTTTTCTTTCGCGAACAACATAACCGTGCGCCAGTACAAAACCCGTCAATCGCGTCTTGCTTTTCGAGTGTGGAGCACGAGCGAGCCAGACAAAGGTAACATGATCCTGGCTCCATGGCCGTGACAGACGGCAGTGATCAGAACCTTTCCCTCTGCGTGTCTTGTGGGGAGCACATTGCGAGGCACGCTTAATGGAATATTTTATTCACATAAGCCACAATTACAGAGGCTGTTGGCAATTCACGGTGAGTCACCACATCAAGAACTGATGCACACTCTGCATGTGCTGTTAATCGCGCTATGTCCCCCCACCCCTTCAACCTCCTCTGCTTGATTGTCGCTAGGTGTTAAAAGGGAGACAGACAGCGGATTGGGGGAGGGGTCACCGCTGTGAAAGACAAAGAACAGAGCCTTTTGGTATTAGCTCAAGGAGAGAGGGGCTCAGGGAGGCCTCTCTGCTGGTCTTCCCCTGTTTTCATAACCCAACTGCTGAGACTGCAAAGCATCCGCACCTAATCTTGACCTCCTCTTAAATGAAATAAATATGCCTTTGATGCACTGTATCTCACTCACGCTTTCAGCACTATCGTTCCTCCTGCCATGTGCATGAATTGGTGCACGAGCCCAACGACAGATTTTCCAATTTTGGCCGCGTTTGCCATATTCGGGCAGCAAAACAGCTTTGGCTGCAGCCGCCGCAGGGTACGTGTGAATGAGATCTAAGGTCGTCTGGAGGTAATTGAATCGTGCAGCACTGGTAAAATACTCGAATTCAACTCGTACAGCAGATCAATTGCAATGGCAAAGAGGTCGTGTAGTTATGCTGAGCACGCTTCACAGCAGAAGGTGAGAAGCCGCCAGTAAAGTTGATGTGGGAACACGCAGCATGGCACGGGGTGGACTTTCCCTGACCATCACTTGTATTGATTTCCAACCACAGCGGTGGGAGGGCGTGCGTGTGTTTATGAGCAGGGGTTGGGAGGGCCACAGTCGAGGACAAAGAGAGATGATATTTAGCTGGAAAAAGAAGAGCTGCACAGATGCTGTCAGGATAGATTTATTAGGAAATAAAGAACTGCACAAAGAAAGAAGCACAGCTCCATTATGTTTTCCTCCACCTGCGATCATGATGAAGAACTAAAGGGAAGTGATGGATTGCAGAGACGGGCGGTTTAATGAATTGGTGGAGGCAATGAATGAGCAGCGAGCTGGCTGATTGAAACAAAGTTGTTCCCTGAGTGTACTGACTTAGAAGTTACTTGCAATAGTATAATGGCAAACAGCAGTACACTGTATATCTTGATGTTTACTGTTTTGTTAAAGCAAGGTGTGCTGTCAGAATTTTTCACACTGTTTTTATTTGTGTAAATATGTCATTAATACAGCCGTTTGATATAGCATTGGGAAAAATGTATACAGACCTTGTTCATGACTGTGAATTCTTATATTCAATTGCATATCCCGGGGTACAGAGAGTTTAAGGGCCCCACTGAAAACAAATGCAAGGAAGAAAAATCTTGCAACATGTTGAATTCACTTTGCAACACAAATGGAACAGTCTGAGATCAGCAGATAACGTCCATGTTGTATTTTTTTGCATAACAAGTCATTATATTTTAGTTTTTTTTTCTTCTTGTAATTAAATTACCTAACCCCCCTTTTTTCAGTCTGAATCTTATCCAATAACGCAACAAATAATAGACGGTTTCACAAATGACAGCGGAGGAGTGAAATTCACTGTGAACATATTTAATTTTTCACACAAAACCAAATCAAGCTGATCCAGTGCCATTGAAAATGTCGAATTTGTCATTGTATTTGAACGTATCCGAGTTCTTGCTGTCCCTTGAATCACGCATGCGTCTGTCTTTCAGACTGCCTGCCCGACAATCGTACCGACTTACTGCTAAATCTCAGCGCATTTGCTACACGATAGAGACCGTGGAAAGGTCACCACTGTAGCGGAGTGCGTGCTCAGGATAAGTGGAGAGGATGCTCGTAGATGCAGCTAGTCATTACGATGGTGTTCCCATTGAGGGTGTGCGAGACAAGACACGCTGGCCCTTCCGGGCTGCTAATCAACACTGTCATAATAAACGAGAGTGCTGCGGGTTGCTTCTTCTGCCTTTTGTTGATTCGCTCTCCTCCCACCGCTTTGACTCATACGAACGCCTCCATATAGCCCCTTGCATCTCCTACTCCCCTTGGGCTGTCCTCTGATAACCCCCCCCTCACCCCTACCCCCCACAGAGAACCAAAAAACCAAAACTTTTCTCCCCCAGGCATATTTCCAGATTGCGAATTGACTCTTGGTTCACAGGCACGCTACCGCCCCTCCCCCATATTCTCCCCCATGTCCTGTTACACTTTGTGATTATCCTTACCTTCCTTTTTAGTGTGCGCGATCACTGAAATTAGAGAATCTCACTTGTTTATTCACTCCTGTTGGTTTTATTTTCTTTTTTTTTTTTTTTTTTATGATTATGTGCATCTCAGGACAGCCCCTCGAGCCCTCGACTCAGTCCTTCCTTGTTGTTAATACTGTATTGAGGCTTCCCCTCAAGGCAAGGCTACGGTCCACAATCACTGGCAGTACAGTTTTTACGCTATGTCACGTCTCTGTTTCGGAGAGCCGATTTGTCCTATCGTTGGCGGAAAAGAGGCTTTGTGTCATTCTAACAAGATCAAAGCTCATTTAGGGGAGGGCATTAAGTAGGCTGATCGCTCTCTAACGGGCATCGCGAAGGCAGACTGGGTGCTTAATATGAACGCATAGAGCTCCATATGTTACCTATATGTACATGTGTAGGTTACCTACCCAAGAATAATAAGAATACACACAGATACTATAACAATACTACTCTTCCTCATCCATGAAAAACAAGTTATAGCTACGTTCTTTCGATTTTGAATGCAATAAATAATCACGTTCTTTCATCGTGATTTGAATCTCCGTAAAAATAATGGTGATCGGTATTTTTGCCCTCATTCCTCAGCCCTTGTTGTCACCGAAGACGACAGGGTGCTGCAGACTTGAGATTATAAAGAAAGTCTAAGGATGACAGTGGTTTATTAGTAGCAGAATCAAAATAACCTTTCAGGTATGTCGCTGGAAGGCAGAGTTTATTTTTTGTTGTTCTTTCATTTAGCCTTAATGAGTCATACAGCCCAATATAACGAGAATAAAATCTTGCCCTTGCATCACGACTTCAAGCGGTGTACCTAGTAGGTTTGTGCGTGTGTGTGTTGCCCGCTCTGCCGTCTGGTACCTGATCTCTTCCACTGTTTAAAGATTACCGTTAAACTTTGAGCTGTAACTCAGGCGGCGTCACATCTGACTTTTGAACCGGCAGCGATAAGCTACAAATGACCGTTGGTGTGCGTCCGTGCAATGCACGCACTCTTGTTTTAGTAGTAAAGTTCTTCTGTGAGTCGTCACCAACAGGCAACTCACGTTTCCTATTTCCTCTAAACCAGCGGTCCCCAAACTTTTTCCTGTGAGGGCCGCATAAGCTTTCGCTTCTGTGATGGGGGGGCCGGGGTCAGACCTCCCCTTCTCATTTGCACTTGTTCCTACACCGATTTCTGCCCCTAACATGACACTCGCATGTTAACTCTGCCTTTATGGTGAGTCCACTTCACACAAAGCCTCCCACCGTACACACTCGTACGCCTCCTCCCCACGGCTGCCCCCAAACTGTCATCTGTGATCCCATCTCCACCCACACACAGCAAAATGTCAATTCATGCTTTTCCTCACACGAGGTCGTCGGTAATGGACGACTACAGTGTCAAATAGGACTGGAAACCATTTTTCTTTTCATTCCATTTGCCGTTTCTTTTGGTCTATTTTTGATCAGGCGATAACTCTAGAAGTGTGTTTTGAGCAAACGTCAGCGCAAGTAATTTAAGCAGAGGCTTTTAAAATGAGAATGTCCCTGGAAAAGTGTACCAACCTAGCACATTTACAGACCTAGAGTGTCATCCGTCGACGTTGGGAAGTGGAATCGAAATTCATTTAGGTTGAGCTATTTTTCTTTCCACGAGATCATCAGTTTGGAGCCTGAAAACCGATCTCCAAGTGAATATTTTTTGAAGGCGCCGCCGTTATTTCCATTGACAGTGTCAAGCCGTCAGTCTACATGTCCGCATACGTTACAACCGAATAAAATTGGCGGATGACGGTGCGGTCTTGGGTTTGAGCCGACAAAGTCTGCATGAGGTCTTTTTTTTTTTTTTTTTTTTTTTTCTGGCAGCAAACAGCCAGTGACCTGGCGTGTGTGTATCTGTGATTTCAATTCTATTGGAGGAGCTCTCTTCTAAATTGTTATGAATCCATTTCGCTTACGTCAAGGAAAAAAAAAAAATCTTGCCCCAGCCACAACCTTTTTTTTTTTTTCTCCGTCCTGATAAAACGATTCTTTGGCTCAGTCTGAACAGACTTTGTGTGCAACTCTTATTTGACAGACGTTTTGTTGATTATCAACTCAATTGGTAGGTTGTGTTCCCTATTATGTTAAAAATGCTGTCAATCCAGAAATTACTTTTTTCTTTTTGAACAAGAGAACATGCAGTGGCTTTCCAGGGACTTTGACTGGTGACTGAGTTTGCCAAACCAGTGCAGTCTGGGTAGAATCATGGAAGATTTCCTTATAACGCGGTATAGTGTAACAAAACAACCGATGTTTTCTCCAGGCCCTGGATCTTAAATCACTCCTTATTTTTTTCCCCTTAGGTTTTTGTTTTGAATGGACAAACCATGATTTAAAATAGACGACAGATAAATGTATTTTTGTAATATTTTCTTAAGGCAGTGCAGAAACGTGTGATTAGTGTGTAACCGTTGCCAACAAGTCTTTCTCAGCATTCCTTGACTAAAAGCAATATAATTGGAAACTTGCTAGTACTTTAACAGACCTGGCTATTATTCGTTCCAAATAGTAGTTGTCAAATAAAATTCTAGCTCGATGTGCAGTAAATTTTGGATTGAAAAAAAAAAAAAAGCAGTCGGCCCGTGACCATGCGCCAAAGATTCCGTTTTTCCTGCTGCCCATGATGCTACCGTGTGGCCTCCGACCTTTGAATATCTCCGGATTTTATTCCTTTTGATTGTTTAAAGATTGAGACGTTTGTTCTTTTCTTCAAAGGATTTTGTAAAAAAGCTCCATAAGATTCCTGTAACTATTCCTCCCCCTCTAATTTATCCTGCACCCCTCCTCCATCTGTCAGTGTTCCCCATCACCCCCATCACCATCTGTTGACCTCATGTCATTTTACCTTCCGCCACCACTGCTACTTTTTTCCCCCCCTTTCCTTCCACTTGTTTGCTCCAGTAACTCCTTGACTTCTTTCCTCCTCCTAAAATAGTGCGTTGGTGCGAGAGAAAATAAACAAGAGTGATGCCCTTTATTTTTGCCCCGAGAGCGTGTTGTTGGTCCATGTCAGCACAGCCCAAAGCTCTGAATGTCAGTCTTCCAAAGCCCCTCCTCCTCCAAAAACTACATTTTGATGCTGACTGCGTGAAAACTCGACTGTCTGCTTTTAGGTTCTCTACATCCACATTCATGGAAAAATGCATCAACGGATGAGAGCCAGAATGTTCTTAAGCAGAACCATGTGGCAAAAGCATACGTGTACTGTACGTTTGAGAACCGGGTCTCAAATTCAGCCGCTACCACCGTTCCACCAACCCTCCTCCCCCCAACCCCTTACAAAATATAAATCACGCAGCATTCTTCTCCCATGACTCATTGTCTCCATTTCGCCAGTTTCATTGCTTTATCGTTCTCCCTTTTTCTCGACTTTGTCCCGGCATTCCTCCTCCTTCTCCTGTTTCTCTCTCCTTATTTTCATCCCCTTATTCTTTTTTTTTTTTTTTTGATCCATCCGCTCTATCCACCCCACCCCTCCATCCACCCTGCTCCCTCCCTCCTTTCTCAGCAGATTGATTCCAGATGTTGCTCTAACCCTCCTCCCACCCTTTTGTGTTCCCTCCCTTTTCTTCTTTCCACTCTGCTCCGTCCTCTGCAGAACCGAAGCTCTGTAATTTGACGGCCGGGTATAATTTTGGTTCAGATTTAATTGGTATTGCGGTTTTCCTCCAGGTTTTTGTTGGTCGTGCAACACATACACCCTTCGGAGCAGCGCGGCAGCATTTCGGCTCCTCAGCTGCGAACGCGGGTGGAATTCGCCTAGTCTACAAGGTGCAGAGTATTTGCAGTGAGCGTTTCACATCACAAACGAAGTTATTAGACGCCATCACGGAATTAATTCAAGTGGGACACTGAATAAAACGCCATCAAGTCTGGAAAAAAATGACTCCTCATATCGATACATGATATATATCCATCCATTGTCTGTATCGCTGATCGTCACTCGGGTCGCTGGCGTGCCGGGGCCTATCGAGGCGAGAAGCAGGGTACATCCTGGACTGGTCATCCGGCAATTGCAGATGACTATATATGCATCATAAATATAATCAACAATAGTATCATAAATATAATGTATTTAAAATGAGTTTTCAGATTAAAAAGTGAGTATGAATATATATTGATAATTCAATGTGTATTTACTTTTTACTATATTCATTTATCAATTAAACAATATTGAATAATGTATCGAACCGTCGGCCAGAAATTGAGATCGTTCTAATAAATACATCGGCGCGTTTGTATATGTGTATACATACTGTAACGCGGATGGTGTTGAAAGTCTAGTTCGGCTAGACCGAGTAACGTTAGCAGCATGCAAAATGCCTGTCGTTAACCACCAGCTGTTTTTACAAAGTCACTCTGTTGTCCAATATGAGCCGGCTCGTTCCCCTCTAAATGTGGCGCACCAAGGAGAGTGTTCCCTCCGGGGACAAGGCGTGAGGGGGGGCGGGGGGGAATTGGTTCCAGATGAAACAGGAAGTGGTGAGAAAGAGAGAGAGAGAGAGAGAGAGAGAAACAAAGAAAAGGCTGTTTCATATGAGTGAGAGGACGGGTCTAAAATCTTTTCCCAACTCTTTTCTCATACCTAGCGTCACTCAGTGGACCAACCTTCTGGGACACACTTAGTTTACCTGAATCGTAATTCTTCATATTACCAAGACATTACGACCAATTCTATGTTTAGGGAAGATCCTTTTGTGCTGCAGCATTACGCCACACCAGCTGGCTAGCAAGGATCTTCCAATAGCTAAACACATTGTGGAGTCGCCCCTAAGTCAGTCAACATGGCCTCCATAGCGGCAAATAAATTACACATCCTCAAATGACACATATCACTGAAAAATTATCTGGCATTTGTTTTTGAATCAAAGTGCTTTTGATTAAAAAATCAGTTTTGACTTTTTTTTATAGCCACTATCTACAGTACGTGTGTGAGCTAATGTTGTTTTACCTCGCCATGGTTTCTTTGCAAAGATCTCGGCTAACCCCAAACTCAATCTACGAATCATCTGTATCTCATCAGGCAGCTGGAGCTTCGAGCCAGGAGGTTGGAAATCTTTTGCGTCTCCTCAGAAGTCACGTCTGCCCTTCTCGGTGCTGTGGAAATATTCGGCCTAAACTCAGGCGAAACATTTTGTCCGATCCTTCGTCCTGTAGCTTTGAACTTTTATACGTTTGACTTTCTTAAGACCACCAAGTGCACCGTTGCCCATTCTTAAAGCTATATAAGCACATGCATCTTTTTCGCCTCCCACCCCATTCTCTCAACAACATTCTCATGTTTTTCCTCTCTGTCCTCCTCATCTCCTGTAGGAGAGTCGTGGCATGGGTCTCAGTAGGGGGTCGTGTTTTCTCTGCAAAGGCATGTCGGTCAGCAGGCAGTATTGCGCTCGTGTCTTCGCCCCATCTGCTGTCAAAATATCAGCGTTTGGTTAACTCTCACCCATTGTTGCAATTCTGCTCCGCTGCCCCCCCCCCTCTTTTGTTCCACTTTGCCTCCTCCTCGCCTCGCTCTGCAGCAAACAATAGTTTCTCTAACCAGGACAAAATAACACCAGGAAGAAGAGAAAAGAGGCGACAAGGGACAAGAATAATCTAATTAAAATTAATTACTGAACAAAAAAAAAAACCCCGGCATTAGTTTCTGGGGCAAGTTCTGGCTGTGTGCGAGCAGTTAGGTGCCTCTCAGTTTTCAGGAGTAGCGCTTGATCGGTTGCGCGATAGAAAAATGTTTGTAAGCCGCGCTCGTCTTGACGAGTCCGCAGGCCGTGAACGCTGTTCCTGCCGTTCGATTTCATGTGCTTTTCTTGGTATTGACAGAAGTCACCCTGATAATGTCGGAATATTGTTTTAACAATGTTACCAGCTTTATGTATTTATTTTTGCACCAATATAAACTGAGATGCATTCATCTGAAAATCAATGTTTCTCTCCCAATGAAAAATTCAAAAACAAAACAAAAAAAAAAATCTCAGCTTTTGGAGAGCGGTTTTAATTGAAAAGTTGTCTGTCATAAAAAAGCCACTTACATCCCACTTGCTCTCTTTCCCCTCCGATTGTCTCTTTCAGAACAATGAGCCCTTAAATCCTGGTTTCCATGGATACACGCCTCACAATCAGGTAAGATAGCGAATTCTTGCGAAAGCTTTATGACGCGAATATGTTTTCCAACGCATACATCATGCCTCCAAATGCTTCTCTCCTTCTAATTCGAGATCCACGACACAATGAAATCATACAAAACGCTTTTCCTCGAAGGGGAAGTGTAAGTAAGAAGTATTCTTGAATTTTTTTTTTTTTTTTTGAGGTTCATCCATTTACCGCTCGTTGTGTAGCAGCGGGATTTGCCGTGTAACCCTGCCGGGCGCTCTTTAATTTCACACTCGCGTCATCTGTCGGTAGCTCATAAATGAAGCTTCCTTGCAGGACAGGATGAAAGAACCCGCTTGCGATTGAGCTCCTCTTTCAGCCGCCCGACACTCAGACAGCAGCTCGCAATGCTGTTCTCATCTGCTTTAGAGAGAGCTCTGCAACCCCACCCACGCAATACTCTTTCATAATGTTTCTATTCCTTCTCTCCAACTCATTTGAAGCATCCCCCCCCCCCCCAATGAATACTGCTCAGGGTAACGAGTGCCTTCTGTGCAGCGTTGTGGAAGACTGGCTGACGATTTTCTTATCTACCTCTGTGCAGCGGCGCACTTTGGGTTGCTCAGACCAGCTCAGCGTGTGAGTGGGCGATGAATCTGTGTGTGTGTGCATTTGCAATTTCTATTTTGGTGAGCTAATGACAAAGAGCGTGTGTGTCCCCCCACCTTTGGTTGTGCTTGCGCAGGCACACTTGTTTCTCCCGTGTGTTTGGGATGTAGCTTTCTGGCGGTGCCACAGGAGGGAAGTGTTGGTCTGTGAGTCACTTCTCCCCTCCAGGCTCCTCAAGGCCCGACATGGGAAATGTCCTCCTCCCATATATGCTTATTTTTCTCCTGGTCCCCTCCTCAACCTTCTCTGCACTTGGCATCTCCTTTCTTGGGAATACAGCTCTCGTAGCTTCCATGGCAGAAGCTTAAAGAGGGCACGCCTGGATGAATTTAACTGTCGCGTTCGAAGTCGGCTTTATGCATTTGATCTCTCTTTCCTCATTTCCCTTTTGCTACATATTCTTTACCGTTGGTGTTCTGTCAGCTCGAGTTAATTTATGGGAATGTGTCGGAGGAAGTAAAGAGGTAAAAAAGAAACGGACGTAGCTTCTTTAAGATTGCTTCCCCGCTGGGAGGGCCCCATCATGCAAATGTGGTTCGGGCAAGGGCGTCAGCTGTGCTTTTTTTGTTTTGTTTCGTTTGTTTGGCTTGCTCGTCTCATGCAATATTCTCATTTTAATCGTTGCAGCTGTCTTCGTGAGCACTTTTGCATCCCACGACAATTAAACTCTTTCATATCGGGACATTTTAAACAAATACTCTATTGAGTCATTTTGGCTCATTTGTATTGTATCGTTTACTTTCCTTTTGAAAGTTTATGGTCTACCAGTACGAAAGTATGGCGAGAGCAATATCTAGCCGTCTTGGATTCTGTCATGTCTGGTGGTATGAAAAAGAGCTTCATTTGAAAACCAAACGAAAAAACGGCAAGTAAATGTGTTTGCTGCTCTTTTGCGTACTGTTTTCTGCAAGCGTGAAAAAAAAATGCTCGCACCTCATCTGTTTTATTCAGTATTTAAAATATTCCTGCCTACCTAATCTGCACGCTCCTGTACACAAACTCCCGGTTACAATGCAAATATAGTAGGCCAAGGCCTGCCTTGCTGGATGAGCTAGTTTAGTGTTTCCCAACCTTAATTGAGCCACGGCAGCATATGAACATGAGAAAAAAAGTCACGGCTCACCACCAAGCAAAAATGTCACAAAAAGTATAAAGATGACTTCAATTATGACACTCTCTATTCAGGTGGACCCACAGATCTATTGTAGATTTTTTTCCCTCCCGTGGTAAGACATTAAATTCTTCTGCCTGTCACCAAATCGATTTGAAATTAAGAAATAACTTTGGCATGAAGTGAAATTGGACACATTCCGGCGGCATTCCTGTTGATCTCAATCAACTGTGCCACAGCTCCTTGCTTGGGAGTCACAGACTGAGCTAGATCATCGCATGCGATATGCCAATATGATTGCATTTCCCCATCATATGTCATGAACCTCAAATATTTGCTGGTTTAGGCTTTTTTTTTTTGTTGTTGTTAATGAAGTCTATTGATTATCTATGGGTGGTGTTGGGAGCGGGGAGCATTTGTGTGAGTCGGCTCATGAGTTTCATTTGATTCTGCGTACCTAGCAAGGTTGAGCAGCATACAGTACGATCAGCGCAACACATCAGCGTGTGCATAACGTGCATGTGTTTGCGTGTGTTGATCGCAAAAGTCATTCTGTGCGCTTAATCTTCAGATCATCCCTCATTCATCCTCTCATCCTCCTCACTTACAGCCTTAATCCTGTCATCCCTCGCTCTTTCTTTTCACTCAGCCCTTTATCCATTTATCTCTTCATCCTGTTATCTGTCACTCGCATCCACTGCCCCATTGTCCTTGCCCCCACTCCGGACAACTCTCTCTCGATACTCCCCCCCCCAAAAAAACTCCTACTCTGATCCCGCCCTTGCGCCTTCCCTCCGGACTCGGCTCCAGCCAGACTCAGCAGATGTCTGAAAGCTTGGCATCAGGGCTTCTTTGCGCAGTGCTCCATCCCTTGCATATGGAAGTGCGGTGTGGAAATCTGCTCTCTCATCGCTGCTACAAGATGCTGTTTGGACACGTGGAGCCGCATCTAGAATAACGATGCCTTGCAGTATGTTTAAGATTAATGTCAGGTTGGGGTTTCGAGGTTCGGTATTCCCTCATTTTTGCAAGACTCCCTTCTGCGTTTTGAGTGCGGCTGCTGCAGAGCATGGTGAGCTTGGAGCTTACCTACCCACACAGCGAGGTCTTTTCAGTCCGCCCCAGCAGCTAGCTACTGCTGCTTTTTGGAGCCGACGAGCTGTCATGCAATAAATAAATCATCTAAAAAAGCTGCACTGCAGTGGGGGTTGCCTTCTGTACGCTCAGACTGCCAGTGTGAATTGAAGAAAGCCTTTTCTCCCCTCCCGTTTTCTCCTCACCCGGGGATTGAGAAGACTGCAGTGAATCCTTTCTGATTCCAAGCCGGAGAAGATTTAGCCGGCTACACGGATGCGCTGATCGTTCGGAGAGACACAGGCTGAGAAGGAGGTTAAGTTTAAAAGAGAGGCGGGAACAAGAGGAAGCTGGGGGGAAGAGCGGGACGTGTAACATGAGCAAGTGAATGACAGACAGACACGGCAAAGAGGCAAGAGAGCAATAGAAGGAGAGGAGAGTCTCTGGCTGTCAGGCGGGGAGAGACGCTAAGGCCGGAGGGGATCCGAGCAGTGGCGCCGGCTGGTGAGACAAAGAAAAAAGGAAGTCGGTGTCAGGCAGTCGAGGCTTGTGTTTGGAAGAAGCCACGCGGCAAAGAGACGGACCAGCGGACGAGGGAGAATTTGAATGTGAAGACGGACGTGGACTAAAACCGTCGTTAGCTCATGGTCCTGGAGTCCAGGCCGAGGAGCGAAGGAGCAGGGGCGAAGGTCGGGACGCACCAGGAAGGGGAGATGAAAGTGGAGAGCTGGTCAAGAGTTGTTGTGCCAGCTCAGGCAATGATGGGGCTCTACTACCCAACTGCACTGCTGGTAAGTGCTTCAACACAGCCTAGCCACTTGCTGCTTGGTGTTGACACTTGAAATCAGGCCAAAAACAGTGTGTGTTCAGCCGTTTATTGTCTTTGTGCGGCTGGCTACCCAAGGCGATGGAAACTATATGATGGCGTCAATTAAGATGCACTTGTCTGCTCTATAAAGTCACGTTTCGTGCTGCACAAGGAGCTGCTCTCGTGTTTGATTTTCTGCAACACCGAATGTGGCTTTACTGTTGAAATCGGCCTTCACTACAAACACGATGACTTGCATTGTTACCGGTGTTGTTTTCGATCACGAATATAAATGCATCTCAACAAAGCCAAGAATGACAGAAGAGCGCCGCTCTATTTTCACGAGCAAGACTGCTACATTTAATCTTGATACGGTTGATTGCGGTTGCACACTTCACTGCTACAAATATCTGTGCGTCTGTGCTCCATAGCAGATAGAAAGAAGCCTGCGGTATCGAGCTGCTTCACGGCTCTGTTCTAACACGTCCCCTTCTCTAGATTGAACTTCTTTACAGGCCCTGTGTAGGGTTAACAGAGCTCGCTAAAGTTGCTTTACTGACCTGTGTTGACAAGCATATGCCTTTGGTATTACTGCACACTGCGTCGTGTGCAGAAGACTGTGTGTGTCATGTGTTGCAATGTGCCGACATTCTTGCAGTCCAACATTGTCCGCAAAGACTCCTATGAAGTGTAAAACTCTCAACGTCCTTGGATTGATGCTGACAGGTGCCAAGGCCCCTGTTCTTGGCGCACACATTTCCCTCGCGGGGACACCGTGCATCTGATAGTTTGCAACATCTATCCTCTGCGACTGTAGGTTGTTCAAATGGTTTCAGTTAGTCTCAATTTAGATCGAACTGATCTGTTGTGTTTCACTTGAAAATGGCAACTCGTATGTCACTGCTTTCGTTTGTCTCTTTTTCCACACTCTTGTCTCATACTTTGCTTGACATCGTCTGTTGGCGTCCTCGAACACTCCGCTATTTTTCTCCCCCGTAGGCTATTGTAGCTGAAGGCAAAACACTTTTTTGTCCTTCATATGTCCCATTCACACATCACAAAACACGTTATTCTGACGATACCATTTTTAGGGGACACCGACACTTTGGATCGGTTGGAATTGCTCCGAAGTCACAAGTGTCAACAATTGAGTGCTTTTACTCGTAGTTTAGGTTTGGAAGTCTTTCGTGCCTTCAATTCCTGTTAGTCAAACGCAGCCGGATCAGGTCAAAGATCCTTGTGCACTGTTGAACTTCCTTCTGGTGCTGTATGGAAAGACTGCCGGATTTTTTCCATGTCCCATATAATTACACAAGAATTGCTAGTCACATACAACGTTGGAATTTGAATGGGATCCTCACCCTGGTGTGCTAGCTTCACTGTTCGCACTCATATTTCCTGTCTGTAATTTCTAGCTCTCTCTTGAGTATTTTTCTTGTCCTAGAACACTTGTCGTGTCTGACTGTGAGCCGGTGAAAAGCTGATGTCGTTCTAAGGCACGTTTGATGAGTGGCCCGCAGTGAGGAAGGAGACGAGGGCTTCTTCTCTAAATCGATCATCGAAGGAGATGGGCAGTAGCCTTTACTTGATGGACATTACACTGAAGGAGTTTTGAGTGACTTGGGGGTGTGTCCGTACTTTGAATGGTGGGGTAGGAGTTGTATTTTTGTTTTTTGCCAACCGCTGGAAAAGTCATGAGTGTAGAAGTGCAGGAGAAGGCGTGTTTAAAGGTACTGTATAACCAGCCTCCGCCATGCATTACATGGGACATATGGGAATTGTTTGATTGATGAGTTGGTGTCAAGGGCTGCCACGTTCACGGACCTTGGCTGGTGTGTACTTCCCTGTGGCCCACCAGACGGTCGTCAGGCTCACGCTTGAAAGGTTTCCCTTGAAAAGGCCGCTTTTCCAGCCCTCATCTGCTCTGTGTATGGAAAAACATATGATGTCGCAGGTTAAAACAACTGCGTGCACATGAGGTGGGAAGGAAAATCTGCTCACGAATAGTTTCTTCTGCAGCTTGCCGTCACGACTGAAGCAGTCCTCCTTTGGAGTGGGGAACCGACCACCCCAAAATGAGGTGGATGGAACTGTGGCAAAGTCGCTAGAATGAAAAGAATGAAATTTGATGTCACCTCATAGCCCGGGCCACAATTTTCCGATCCTCTTCTTAAGGTAACATACAGTAGGAGCTGCAAAACGCATTAGCAATCAACCTTTTCCGAGCATGCGATCAGCCCTGCATCAATATGTCTCGAGGCTTTCCTTTGGACAGCTGCTTCATCAGTCTCTGCAGCTCAATCTTTTCGGTCTAAAGCCTCAGTTGGATGTCAGTGGCCGGCGTGGTTGTCACTGCGGCAAAACAATGAGCAATCGGGCTATTGGATTGCGGGAAGAGAGAGGGACAGGGCTCATTTGCTTTGTGGCGAAGCGTCTTTGTTACTCTAATTAAAAAGCTTGTGTGGAGACCAAGTGTTTCTAGGCGTCACCCAGCACACAGCGGTGAGCAGACCAGTGGCTAATGCTGCTTCTTACACTGTGATCGGAGCAGTCCTCTGAACCTCACATCCTTTTTTAAGGCTCGGGATAACTTTTTTTTTTTCTTTGAGGAGCAGTTAGATTCACTGTCATTTTGGATTTGTGGTAACTTTTTTTTTTTTTAATCCCCTGCAGGGGTCTCAGGATTCATCAGGAGCACAGGACGGTTTGGTGGCACCAGCCTTCGCAGCGTTCCCTCCTCCACCTCCTCCCCAGAATGGGATCGCTGGGACAGAATTTGGCCCTGGGCCCATGTTTGGTGCAGGGGGTCAAGGTACAGCTGAGGTAGGCCCTGGCGCTAATGGGGACACCACCAGTCCCATCAACAACAACAATGTAAGCGTTGTGTGGTGTAAAAGGGTTTGCTGGTAGTTAGGTTCACTGTCAGGCCTAACTTTATATTTATCGGCATGTGTGGAATGAATCTTGGAATCCACAAAACACAAACTAATTGCACGACATGTTTTCCTAACATGACATTTCGATATGTCAAAATAAGGGGCGGCTGCGAATTTGATATGCGGGAAAACCATTTGAATCAATGAGGTACTGCTGTAATATTATTATTATTATTATTATTATTATAAGGTATGAAGTAATTTGCGCGCAACGTTTTGTTGGCTGCCCGTTGACTGGCAACTAGTCCAGGGCGACGCTCACCCGCAACCATTTTCTATACTGCTTGGTGTGAGGCCAAGCGGTACAGAAAATAGCTGAATGGGTAGTTCGCTTAAATGGCTTAGGATAAAAAAGAAAACTTGGAAAGAGCATTTAGCTGTAACCTGATTTTTGCCTGTGCCTGAATGTGTTTTTCACCTGTCCCTCTGGTCTTCATCTTCGACCACAGATCAAGGCTGAGGACACCACCCAAGGGGAGGCAGCGGTTCAGTGTGGTACTGGAGGGACAGCAGCAGGAGGATCTGGAGGAGACTCACCAGAGGCCAAAGGAACCCCCAAACGTCTCCATGTTTCAAACATCCCATTCCGTTTCCGTGACCCAGATCTCAGGCAGATGTTTGGGGTAAGAATGAGCAACTTTGTCGCCTTTCGTACAAGAGTATCAGTGAAAACGCATCAGGGATAGTTTGGCAAGACAGTGGCCTGAGAGGCTCATGGTTTGTCCTCCTGATGCTTTATTGGGGCAGTGAATATGTGTGTCAGTGTGTTAAACCGAGTGGAGGTGAGAGAAGGAAGGCGAAACAAAGAAAATGCCCGTGTCCTGTGTGCACTAGTGACCTCTAGTGCAAAAAGTTGTACTCGACGTGTCAGAACCTTCTAAATTTCCCATTAAACTCCAGTCAAAATTTTTGTTTGTTAATTTTTTAAATTAGTTTTTTGTAATTACTATGTGTGATTTTTGCAGCAATATGGGAAGATTCTGGACGTAGAAATTATTTTCAATGAGAGGGGCTCAAAGGTAAGAGAATCCATTTTTACCCTACCCAACAATGTGCTGTCTATTTTGTTCTTCAAAAAAAGTGGCACAATATGACGCAATAGTGGAACTCATTTTTCTTAAGCTGCGGTAAAATATTAACTATTGTCAGAAATTCAAAATACGCCCCAATGTGAAAAATCTCAACTGCACATTCCCCCAAGACTTGACCCGTGTGCTTTGCGCCACAGGGTTTTGGCTTTGTGACATTTGAGACCAGCGCGGATGCAGAGAAAGCCCGCGAAAAGCTCCATGGCACATTGGTGGAAGGTCGTAAGATTGAGGTAATTTTCCCATCTGTGTCCATGGCATTTTCTGTCCTGTCTCGACTGCCATTCTAACTCCATAGAACTCCTGATTGCTAACTAGCTAGCATTGACAACGCTCTGATGCAGCACATTCATGTCCCACTGCCTGGTCCGCTGTAATATTTGTTTTTCCATTTATTTATTTATTGAATTGATATATGTTGTGGTGAGACTGATTGGGGGTGCAAGAACACATATTTAAGGCATGCTGGGGTACTTTTCCTCTGCAGCATATTTTTCCCCTCTTGAAGCTGTTATCTCTTCTGCTTTTTTTTTTTTTTTTTTTTTTTTTTGTGCAAATCGTAGCCACATTGATAAATGTTTTGACCAACAATTGGAATGACGTCTCTGTGGTTGGCACCGGAGGGCACCAGAGGAATGCAGCGGAAGCATAATGCATGGCAAGATTGCTATCGGATGCTCTTGATTTCTTCCCCGGTGTACAATAAATCCTGTCCTCCCCTAAGTGGTGATTGTGGCACCTTGTACCAAAGCAGCATGCTGGGAATCACAGCAGAACCAACGCATGTCCACTTTATGTATGTCTTAATTTGTACTAAAGACCTCTTCGGTGCATTACATATTTTTCAAGTTGTTTTGCATTCTGATTTTTGTATCCGACATCTGTTTTGGATCTCTTGACCCAGGTCACTGCAGGACAAGAGCTCTGCATGGGCTAACTGTGCTGACTTCAGTGTGTGTGTGTGTGTGTGTGTGTGTGTGTGTGTGTGTGTGTGTGTGTGTGTGTGTGTGTGTGTGTGTGTGAGAGAGAGGGGGAGGGCTGGGGGGGAGCGAGAGAGGCACAGCGAGTGTTGTCAGGACCTGCATGATGGATGAAGGCTGGACCTTTTTCCCTCTTCAGTCCTGTATTTTGTTCTTCTGTTGCATTTGCAAATACAAGATAGCGGCCTGCATCCACTGGTACAACCTCTGCCAGCTCCATTTTCAGTCAGTCCGCAAGCTGAATGGATATGGATGGAGTTACTTGAAGTGACGGCCTGTCTTGTCCCTCGCATTGCTTTAAGCTGATTGTGTCTCAACCCAATTAATGCATGAAAGCAATGATGCCTCCGAGAGAAGTTTGTTGCATGCCCTGTTGTACTTTTGTTCCAAGTAGTCAAGTCGTCGTGTTGGGCTGTAGTGAGTGATGAAGCAGTAGTGGGTACAGTGTTCGTTGACCGGTGCATGGGCTTGAAGAAAACAAAGGGCTGGCACAGGGCACATCTTGGGTTTGGTTTACACATTCTTCCTTCTTTGGAGAAAAGGCCAGGCACTTCTATTTGCGGCAGTGCTGTCTGGAAGTTCTCCTCTCTTGCAGGTGTTGCTCTTGTAAACGTTTCCTTTAATTGGTCATTTCAGAGTTTGGCGAACGGTCTTTTCAATAATAAGGTTGGCAACATTCATAAGAATAAGCACTGTCGTTCACAAACTCTGACACATAGGCCCCACTGTTTGCTATGGTTTTACTTCAATGTTTAGTGTGTGTCAAGGAGGCTGACTATTTCCTACTGGCATGAGTTAAGTTGGTGTAGCCTAATTGTGCATGACAAGTATTTTCCGATGGAAATAGATCCATTCAGGGGGCGCAGGATCTTCCCTTGCATGTTAATTCTCAAGCTGTTTGTTATACGCATTGGTTTTGGTGACGGGGTTGTGTTCTGTTAGCATGGAATGTTGCACCTGGGCAGGTCAAAATCATTGTCTCTTCATTGCAGTCTGACTGATTCATTATTTGGAACCTTTTCCCATATTTAAAAAAAAAATTCAAATATTTTCTTCGGTCAGCATAACTGCGAACTAATTATTGGTTACACGCAACTGTGAATCTAACTAAGCATGTATGTGGCCTCATTTCAAGAAGTGGAGACTTGTCGCTCTTTAAGTTCTGTTGTACTTTTTTTCTGCAAGCAAACTCTGCGCTCCGAAGAAGTCACTTTGCTTTCGACCTCTAATGCAGCCACGCAAGTGGCCCAGTTACAACTGACTTTACTCTCGACTAAGCTGGCTCTGGTGTCACCATTGATGCTATACTCTGTATATCGAGAGTCTAAAGAGCCCAGTGTGACTGTATAATAAGACGCCAGACTCGTCACAAATATTTTAAGTCTAGCAATTTTCGAGCAATACTCCACTCTCAGTTGGGGCACTGCTTGCATATCTTAACATGTTTTCAGTGTTTGAACTGGATTATAGCCGTGATCGAGTTCTGCTCATATTTCTTTCATTTGCCTTTGACATCGTTAACTTAGTAGGGATGCACCAATAGCATGCCATATACCTTCCAAGCAGAAGCTAGATTAGTCTCGTGGAGAAACAAAGTCAAACACAAATGACGACGACGGATGCGGCCGTGCCGCGAGCCGATCGAAAACAAGCGATTTGAGCCCCGTCGCGGGTTCAAGCCCGCGCCGCTTGGTTCCGGCCGAGGCAGCCGCGCTCCCGTCATGAAGCCCCAGAGTGCGGCTCGTTGAATAAAAGAAAAGTAAGTGATGGTTTCGTGAAATTTCCATTCAGTTGTCCCGTCACAGCTTCATGTTACAATGTGTGCTGTTCTCGAGAAGCAGTCTTATTTCTTTTTACTCGCTTCATGCTGTCGTTAATGCACAACGCTAACATGGCATCCATATTCTACCACACCGGTGCCATCGAGAGTTATTAAACAAACACATTTTCATTCCAGGTGCAAGACTTGATGGCATGATCGCATAGCTCTACATGTTCCCGACACCAACTGAAATACTCCGTGTGAGATACTCTGCTTATGAAAACTGTTATTGGTGCCTCCCTATTTTCTAGAACCCTCCTCCGCCACAGCAAGCCCCCCGGTCAACAGGCAAACGCACAACCACTCATCGCATTCCGCTCCCCTTCCCTGCGGCGTGCTCTCAATTGTGTTTCGGTGCTTCATTCTGTGAGATGTGGAGTCTTAATAGGAAGTGTCAGCATCTCCGCAGCGCAGAGTTTCCATCGGGCATTTGAACACAAAGCACGAGCGCGTGTCACCGATTCTGCATGTGTAATGTCTTCCAAACGGGGGCTCATCTGGGAGGTTGGTCGTCACTGCATGGATATGTGTGGAGAAGCTTTCTTGGCCCCCATTTCGCCACGGTGCCACACACGTCTTCGTTTGGGCACACCTCGACCAGATGCAATTTAAACACTCCTGTGGCAGATCGGATAAATCATGAAATAGTTCATTCATGACCGCAGCCCATCAACTGGATATGACCAGCTCTACTTTGAGATTGAAAAATACTGTTCCAACACGATTGACTTTGAAATGGACACATGGGTGGCACAAATTAGTCTGACAAAGTTTTTCCTGTGTAATAATTTGTCGATTTAACTTGGAAGAAAAGGCAAAAGAAAGTTGGGCCTTTCCATCCTTGTCCTTCTTGCTGTCACATGTAATCCTCGCCTTCCTAAATTCTTAACTCTGTCTTTGCCAGTCACTTTGTCTTTTTCCCATTTTCATCTTTTCACTTTTCGTTGCACACAATCGCCCTAGGTTTTTTTTTTTACACTTGTATTGTCATTTTATGTCTCCTTTATTGGTTGACTATCAGTTCTTTATAGTGTTCTTTTTTTTTTTTGTCACCGGTAGGTAAAAACTGACCATTTTTGCTACTTGACCCAAATCAGTTTCCCAAGTGCAGTACTGTACTGTTGTGGATTTACTTTACCACATCAAATCATCTAACCGATGAGAACCTTTTGCCTTAGTGTCTCGATATACTAGGGTTAAAAGTTGATTATTTCTATGAGCTACATTTTACCCCTTTGCCACTTGTCGGGATTAAAGCAAGGTTGGCCCGACATTACAGTCGTTCACCTTAACCGATTGTATCCGATCCGTTCACGGGTCTTACTGCATTGTTGTAATGATGCCGACATCTCTGTTAAGCTTTGAGGGCTCCCATTTCCTTTCCCTCCTCTATCTCCTTTCTCTCTCATTCTCTTCTGAGCTGTAACGCTGCCGCTATCATTTTTTTTTATTTGACATGGATGGTGAGGGGATGACATCTGGCTTTCTTTTGTTGCCTGGATTATTTGTTCCTTTATTTATTATATTTTTTCTGTTTCCCTGACGACTTCTGTGTGTTGTTGTCAGTCTCCACGGTAACCGCTCGCTGTTTCTGCTGCAATGGTAAGTTGTGTACAAACGTTCATCACTGAACTGATCTCTGCCCCTCACCCCCCCCCACCCCCTTTCCACCTCACCGCTAAAATGGGCCTTTGATTTTCATCAACATGTACAAAGTATAGATAGTGAAGTGACCACTGTTAGTCTATCGTGATTTTGAGGATCTTAAATTCGGGCCCTCACATTTTATTTCCAAAGCGAAGCAGCTGTTGTACAACTCATTTGACAGTCACAACATGGCACACACAGACACTGGATGAAATAGTCTGGTATCCGTAATACTTTCTGCACCCATCCAACCCCCTTCCCCCTCCCCCTGCCATTAACACCTCACTGGGAATGATCGAATGTAATCACCCTCCTCTATGCAATGACACAGCTTTCCACAGTCTTTCTGCTTATCCATCAGCGTATGAAGTATTCATCCGATTGATTTATAAAAATAAAATAATCTCATTGTTGCGACCAATTTTCTAATTTCTTCATTTTATTGACCTGCCAGCATTGGAGTAGCAAAAAATTTAAAAAAAAATCTCTCAGGCTGTTGATTTCAGTTTTCAAAATAAAAATCCCTGATCATCCAGCTCACAAATCAGGCAGTGTTGTAACCGTGTGCGTCTTGAAACCGATGAGGGGTTTTCTTTTTTTGTTTAGTTTTTTTTTTGGCGGGGGGCGGGGCAGCTCTATTTGGCTGCCATTTCGTTTTCTTCTTTTGGTTTGGTATTCTTGTAGTGGATTGTCTGTGTGTGAGTAGTCGTAGTTCTAGTCAAAGTGTACTGGTCTTAGTTTTTGACACACAGTTCTCTGCCTGGCACAGTGTCTCATGTCCATTTGATTTCTCTCCTTTTTGGGAATGAGAATTGCTCTCCCTCTTTCTGCCTCTCTCCTCTAATTCTCTCTCGCTCTCTTGTTCTCCCATCTCTCACTCTCGGTTCCATCCATCCTTTGGTGCTCTGTTTCTCAACCCACCACATGAGATTGTCAGGAGAATGGTCACCAGATCTAATTGAATGATGCACCTTCATATACTTATGTATATATTTTGGACTTTAGATGTTTTTTTTTTGTGTGTGTTATTCGTGTCAATATTATCCCTTGTTTCTTATTTTGTCTTAATTTTTGGATATGGACTGGCTCTGTCTCTGTACTTCTCACCTGCATCCTTTCCTCTTAACACATCTGGTTTTCCCATTTTTGTCTCTTGTGTTTGATGTGGGAGTGCTGCGATTGTTTTGATTGGTCTCTCTGCTGCATCCGACGCTTGCTGATTGGCTGATTTTTCTTTCTCGTTTCTTTTTTTGGTTTCTTAACTCACTCTTGCTCATGTGATGCGCCCATATTTGGCTGCCTGTAATTTCTGTGTTACATGATTATTGAGTTTGTAAAACAAATGTTTTTGCACCCCCTTTTACTCTCCCTCGTATTGTTTGTATTTGTTTTTAGGTGTGTAAACCCCACAGATTTGGTTTCATACGGAAATGTGATTTTATTTGCTCGGGGTCTGTTGGTCAGAACGGACTGGGTGGGCATAAGGGGCAGGAAAGTGTGAGTGTTTTATTAACCTTTTAACATTTTCAGATTTTACCTTCCATTTGCGTCTCTGTTGATTTGCATGTCTTGTCCTGTCAGGTTACCTGATTACATTGATCGCACATGACAGCTGCATATTAGGCATGCTTTGAAGATTGCACCGTGATTCCCATCAACACGTATGCAACTTTGCTCCGATACCAAATGTTCCGCCTTAATGTCACGTTTATTTGCCGCAGGCGCCGACGGCACTTGCATTAGACGGCTCGGCAAGCTAAGCTAATTGAATCATTTGCCACTGACCTTGTCCTTTACAGTGAGGTGGGAAAAGAAGGCAAACCTCTTTTGCGCGCGAATTGAAGCTCAGCAGAGAGAAGAAAAGCATCACTCCGTTAGAGAGGCGTTATGGACGGTCATCCAAGCCATTAATGGCCTCGAAATGGGACCGCAGCGTCTATGAGCGTACAAATACTCTCGTTCCTCAGTCTCGCGCCTTCTTTGTCAGGCGCACGCTCTCCCCTCATCTTACGCAAAGGTCATAAATCTTCGGGTTGCGGCGCAGTCCGATTTAGGGGCTTGGGCTAGAATCTCCTTTTTCCTAAAGCTCATCAAAGGCAGATGAGGATAAATTCGTGAAGCCTCGTGATCCTTTTGAAGTGCTGAGACGAGGAGGGATAATCAACCATCTTGGATTGGACAGCCTCCTTTATTAGACTGAAAAATCTCCCGCCATGCATTTGTGCAGGGCAAAAACGTGCTCCTCTCTTTGTAGTCGCTTTGGCGATATGACCAGTTTAGCCTGTGGCAGTAATGAATCATCAGATCTTTACCAGACATCTCGCTCCTAATTGCATGATGACTCGGAATAACCACAACAGTCCCCACCCACTTTTGTACACAGTCACGAGCAAGAGTGCCTCGCAACTAACACCGCAATCGCATCCAATTCACGGATGCGTAAAGAATGATTAGGCACGCATACTTGCAGCTCATAATCACAGGCATATCTGTGGAACGACTCTCTCAAAATAGGACACAGCACAGCCGCGGCCCTATCGTGAAGAAATCGACATTGATGTCTACTTGAGTGCCCTCTTTGAGTTGTCACCTTTGTGGCTTTGACTATGTGTCCTTCCATCGGCAGGTGAATAACGCCACTGCCAGGGTGATGACTAACAAGAAAATGGTCAGCCCTTACCCTAACGGAGAGGCTCTGAGCACGCTGCCTTACGGTAACAACCACACTGACCCCTGAACGACGAGGCGCTCTGCTCAACCCGATCACCAAAACAAACCAGTCGATCTGTGTCATTGGCTCGGTTACGAATCCTCATCGCTTTTTGTCTTTTTGTGTCGATGCTTTTCTTAAACTGCATCTTCTCGTCTTATTCCCCAACGCTCCTCCTCTGTGACTTTCAGCAGGGTGGAAATTGAGCCCAATGGTCAGCGCTGTGTACGGACCGGAGCTCTATGCAGGTAGTGCTACGTCTCCATCGGTCATACCGAAAACATCTATCCTCATTCCTTATTCACATTCATACCCAGCTTCTCGTCTTTACTCTGTATTAATGAACTGCTCGCATAGCGCTTGTCCCCGCTGGTACTTATTAAAATGAACCCCTGAAGGCTACAGTGTAACGCTTCCCTTCTGTTTGCTCAGTTCCATTGCTTTTCTTCACCCTGGGCTTCCAACATGTTCATTTTTATTGCTCTCTATACAATATTGAATCCCTCGACATCCCTCTGCAATGCCTTTTCAATCTTCCTCTTCCCTTCCCTCGCCCTCCACTCTCTGCAGTCCCAGGGTTCCCCTACCCTTCCGCGGCTGCAGCAGCCACGACAGCAGCCGCGGCGGCTGCGTTCCGTGGCGCTCACCTTCGCGGGAGGGGGCGGCCTGTCTACAGCGCGGTGCGGGCAGCCGTGCCTCAGCCTGCTATTCCCGCGTACCCCGGGTAAGAATTTTACAACCCTTACAGTAGATGTAAGAGATGTTGGACCTCGCATGATTTGTAGAGTGCCAAAAGTGCCCCAAAAGTCATCTGGAGCAGTTCCGAAGCAAAATATAAATCTAATAACGTGACAAAAATCACAATGTCGTAATGTGTGCAGATCACTCAAGGCATGGTTTACTAGTAGGCTGGTTCCGATGGACCAATCAGAGGACAGAAAAACGCTTCGTGGGCCAGCTCGGTGGCCTTCGGAGGGCACATTTTAAATCTGATTGGTTTCAAGAAAATGTTCCACTGCTAATATACAATGTAGTTGCTTTACATGAGCTAGCGCCAATTGATTATGATTATATATAGTGAAAATATGAATCTGCGGTTGCCGAACCGTGAGTATGCAGGGTCCACTGAATTAGAATTGAAGTTGCAGATAGAGGCCAGTGCTGCTTAATTTGTTTCGGCCGGCAGAGAAGCCCCGCTGTCCCTGACTATCCACCGCCGGCCGGGATTGTAGCTGCACCTGCTTTATATTTAAAAAAAATAAAACAAATAGAAATATCGGTTACATTGATTGAGGAACATCTTGTCATTGTTATTTGGAGATTTGTTTCCCACTTTCTGTTTGAGCAGGTGATGATTTAACACAGCTGTGCTCATGCGCTAGCTCAAACATTATTCACACTCCGCTCAGAAATCAGAGTGTCCATTTGGGCAGCTTGTCAATGATTTGGACCGTAGCACTGAAGGTTGATTTGAATAAACACAGATACGGCCATCTCGGGATTTGCATTCGTACAGAAGCAGCCATCGGTGGATTTGCAGAAACACAAACCGTCCACCTGCCGTAATGCCGCTTAAATAGTCACCCTGCACACATGTTGACCTTATCCCAAGACTTAATGACACTCGGCATGTTGCTCTGCTGTGGTAGTTGCATAATGGACATGGGACTGCTCAAATATTCCAGTCAAAGCACGACTGACATCCTCACATCCCCGTGGCTGCTTAATTAAGATAAAATCACACAAACGAGATGAAAATATCCTCTCCATGTTTGCCCGACTGAAGATTTCCTCAGAAAATGCTCTTGAGACGAATTTGTTTTTTCTTCAACAATACAATTACCGTAAAAAAGATAAATGGATCTGTTTGTACTTGGTAAACATCACTTCTGAGTCGTCGAGTCCAGTGAGTTGTCATGCATTGTCGTATTGAATTTTTTGGTTGGAGCTTATGAGGACAATTTGTAAGCTCGCTGTCCGTCGCGCCGCATTGCTTCACCTCAAGTCACCCAAGCGCACATATTTTGATGCTGTTGACCCGTCAATAGTTTTCAGCATGAGTAGCCCCTTTGGGAAACGGGGGAATTTTATGTTGGGCACTTGTATGCACGATTCGCTGCTCAAATTTTGTGCCCTGTAGGTGAGCATTAAAGCAGTGTTTTCCCCAACCTTGACTGATCCAAGGCACACATTTTACATTCCAATAATCCAATGAAACAAAACAAAAGTGTCATAAAAAGTATATATGATGAAATATAGATGATGTCAAATTTCCTCACAAAATTACAGACTCAATTTGAAACGTGGAGCAGTGTATTGGAACATGAAGGTGATAATGCTTAACAGGTTTATTGTACCTTCTGCCACCTCGTGGCGGAGTCGTCAATTGTTATGCCTGCCTTAGATGAAATTGAAGAAGTTCCCTTGACACTATTGACCCAGTCTTTTAAACAGCTTGTTCAGGTTCTTTATAGATTGTTATTTTTTTGATGAAATGGAGTTGTATTTCTTCTGCATGCTGCATGGGTGTGAAATAAACCTCTCTCTCTCTCTCTCTCTCTCTCTCGCTCTCTCTCTCTCTCTCTCTCGCTCTCTCTCTCTCTCTCTCTCGCTCTCTCTCTCTCTCTCTCTCGCTCTCTCTCTCTCTCTCTCTCACCCACCATGGTTTTTGGGACTGTGCACCATTCTGTTTTTGCACTCCTGGCCCCACCCCACCTCCTGCCTCTCGGGCTTTCTCCACTTGCCTCCTTTCTGTCTCTTTGTGTTCCTCTCTCTCCCTCTCTCTCTCTCTCTCTCTCTCTCTCTCTCTCTCTCTCTCTCTCTCTCTCTCTCTCTCTCTCTCTCAGCGTGGTGTATCAGGATGGGTTTTACGGCGCCGCAGACTTATACGTAAGTAAACTGACTGGCCACCAGCACGAGCTCCGTTGCCCTCCTCTCACAGCTTCCTCCTGCTCTTTCCCTCTGGGTGCGATTCGGCATGTTCGTCCTGTCATTCGCAACACAGAGCTGCACACTCGCACTCCAAACTCTTTTGATATTGCCCGTTTAGATTTCAAATGGTGACATTTGAGCTCAGGTCAAACTTGGCCGAAGGAATTTGAGCGTATAACAAAAGACCACGCCGAGCTGCTCTGTGTGCGGATGAAGCGGCGTTGCGGGTGTATGAACAAAGTGTGCGTGTCTCCAGGTTGACAACGGTTGTTTCTGTTTTCTCTATAGACTAGTGTTTCAGGACTCAGTCCTTAGTCCCAGATTGCCTCAGGTAGGGTCAACTGAACACCAAACCCACCGTGTGCATTGCTTTCCCTTACTCCCTACTCTGACCTTACAGTCATCTTCTGATCTGGTCTGGAACACATTGTCTTTTCGTAGATGTTCTCCTGCTTTAAATTGTGCTTTTTTTTTTTTTTTTTTTATTAAACTAACTCACTGAATTGTACACTTTGATCGTGGGGTCTTGACTAAAACACTAAATTGTTCTCCCCATTTCAGTAGAGAGCCTGATCTCATCTGGTTGACTAGATTTTGAGGAATTGACGACCACTCTGATTTTGTTCTGCATACAAAATGTACAAAGCAGTCACGAAAAAAAACCAAGATGGCTTGAATACAAACTTGAAGTTTCGGCGTCCTTCCTTTGCAATTGGAGGTTTCCGTTCACGACGAGGCGCGGTCGCCTGTGGTGAGACGCTCCGAAGTTAAAATGGAGAACAAGGTCTCTTCCTGATGGTTCTTTGAGCATGTGTGCCGCATGCGGACGAGCTGCGTTTCTGCTAACCACCTCCACTCTCGCACTCACCCGCAAGGCCTTGCTTTCTCACGAATAACCCAATCTTCTCCACCCCGCGCGGCCGTACATCCGAGTCTCCGTTTTGGAGTGGCGTTCTTTTTCCGCTTTGCTGTGCCGTACTCGGTCGCGCAGGCGTTTGTCGTGTGTTTTATTTCGGTTGCAATCGTAATTTTGGTCGCGCGCGCAGTCGGTGTTCGATGGTTTTCATTGTCAGCGTAGGCTTGTGTAAGTGGTGTTGTCTGCGAGTGTGTGATCCTTTTTCCAAGTCTACCCCTCTCTGTTTTCTTGGCCCTTTCCACTGAATCCACACGAAAATGATCAATGTTTGAAAACGATGGAATTGATGTGTTTGTATTCATACACTGCATACAAACTGTATGATGATGATGTGCGTCATGTGCCTTTTTGAGCGGAGGGTTTTCTGAACTGTTCCTGAGCCCGTGTGGCGAGATCCTTTCCACATTGATGCGGGGGGTCCAAGATCACGGACATTCAGTGTTGGGTTTCAGCTTTGTCGCTAACGAGCAAAGATTTCTCCAGATTCTCTGAAACTTTTTGATGATATAATGTCCCTCAATTGTTTACAATTGTCCATTGGTAAACGTTCTCACCGTATTCGATTTTCATTTCTATTTTACGACCCGTCTCAACTTCATTGGAATTTGTCTTTGTATTTTGTAGTCATTTCCTTGTCTAAATTGAAAATTGAGAAATCATGGCCACTGTGGAATTCTTGAAAACAATGCGTCTCACGGTGACTACTGACCTTCCTTCGCACAGTACCGGACATAACAAAACATCCTGCCTTGCGTGTTTTACACGTCGTAGCCCAACAGTCCGTCTGGGAGTCAGCTGTGTTGTTCGTGTGTCTCCAGGGAGGCTATCCTGCCGCCGCCGCCGCTGCCGCCGCCGCCGCTTACCGCTACACTCAGCCCGCGGCTGTAACCGGAGCAACTGCAGCAGCTGCCGCGTACAGTGACAGGTGAGGACAAGACACCAGCAAACACGCATCTCGCCGTACCGCAGAGGCGCTTGGGACCAAGCCCCTTTCATGCACTCGTTGGACGTTGCGCTAGGTTAAAAATGCCAAAAGAAACTGATCGCGTGGAAGGAGATCTGCCTGGAATACTTCCAGGAATGAACCACAACATGTATATTGACAGCTCACCGTTTGGCCAAAGTTCTTCTACAATTGCCCATCTCGCAACACTGCACTGTGTTTGTGCTTCCAGTTACGGCCGAGTTTACACGACAGATCCATACCACGCTTTAGCCCCTGCTGCCGCCGCCTACGGAGTGGGAGCCATGGTGAGCGAACACATGCAAACACAAGCTGCATTTTTGACGTATGCTGATGCAGTTGTTGATGGCTTACAAAAATAGAGAAGAGAATTCTCGTGTGAATGTTTTTGCTTGCTATTGTTGTTGTTGCGTGTGCTGTATCTGCTGTTTTGTGAATGATTAAATTATGAAGCTGAACTGGACAAGCTTCCGGGCATTTGGTGTTGGACTTGCCACGATAGAGTACAAGGCTTATTTTAAAATGCGGGTATCAACTGAATTTCTGTGAGTCCACAGCAACGGTAATATTTCACCACACCCCGACGTTACCGTGGTCTCTCTTGTCTGTTTCAGGCCAGTTTATACAGGGCGGGATACAGTAGGTTTGCTCCCTACTAAAGCCACAAATTACACCCGAGGAATTTCTTGTCTCTCCAGAAGCCTTTTTTTAAGCTCTTTGTTTGGCAGACGCACCCTTCCAACTTTCTGCTGGTGGACTACAGTGACAACCTCCTCCTCCTTTTTTTTTTTCTTTCCCCCCTCCCCACCATCTTTTTTTTCTATTGGTAAGAGAGATGGTTGCCACATCATCACTTCTTCTTTCCCCGTCTGTCTGACAAGGATCTAACGAAAAAGCTCTTGGCACAATTTCTGAACGCTAACGTTTTTAGAAACACTATTGGATCCGTTGGAAAGAAACTGCTCCTGCTTGATCCTCCGCACGACACACTACAGCGTTTTCTCCAACTCCTCATTAGAACCCACTCTCAAGTCTCTGTGCACCCAATCCCACGGTGTCCTTCGGTGATTGAGCTGCCACAAGAGCAGCATCGCTCGTAAAAGCGACACTAAAACGCCATCTTGAAGACAAGCGACGCCCCTCTGCCTTGGCACTGTGGCGCATTCGTCAAGCTCAACCAACGCGGGAGCGTCCAACTGACAGGAATTGCTCCTATCCCCCAAAAAAAACACCATCCAAAGCATCAACTTAAAATGCTCGATTTTTGGTGGAATCCCCAAAACGTTTCCATTTCACCCCAGGGGGTACAATGATATGTAATGTCCAAAAAAAAAAAAAGTTTTTTTTTCTTCTGCGTTACCTCAACATTTTATCTCATGTGAGTTTTGCTGCCATTCTTATTTAACATGCCTTTATTTCTGGTCCCCACATCATTTCATTGAGTAAATGAGCCAGCGGAAATCGTTTTGGTCATCAACTATCAACACGAAGAGGAGGAAGCATGATTCCTCCCCCCCAAAAAAGGACTCCTTTGATTTCCTCACTGCCGGACCTTGTAGCTCCAGCAGTAATGCGGTGACTTGAACCATCAGAAGAGATTTAATAGACGAGATGAGGGGAAAACAAACATCTGCATTTTGGCTGATAAACTGAGGCCGCCCCACCCCCATGCTGCTGGTTTCATGCAAGAAGCAATTTCAATGTTTTTGTCCGTTTCTGGACACAACAAACAATAATTTTGGCAGTACATATATATATATTTTTTTTTTTTTTTTTTCCAGTTAACTCCTATCATCATGTCTCTGATTTTTGTAGGAGGCCTGGCCAAGTTTGTTCCATGTAATCCACCTCCGTATACTCGCACTATGTTATTGTTATTGTTTGCCTTTTTTGGTTCCAAAGATTTTTTTTTTGTTGTTGTTGAAAAAAAAAAAAGCACACTTTAGACTTGATATATTTCTCTCTTTTTTTGTGGTTGTTTTGCCTGTACTTAACTCTGATATATTTTTTAATCTCTGGGTTTAAGATGTATTTTTCAAGGTTGAAACAGTCCAGTGCTGTCCGTAAGACACATTTCAAAGGTTTGCAGCACCTTTTGGGAACCTGCAATGAATACCAATCACGGAATTTTTTTTTTTACACATGGTGATAATTGACGTTTTTTTCTTCTCCCCTGCATTCAAACTGTTTTGCTGCAAATCCAAAAATGACAGAAGTTGGAATCATGAGGGACATTTGGCGAGATGATGGGATGTTTGGAATTGCCAATGCGAGAGGCAAAGGGACAGGACTGCGTTTCCACTTTGGAACAATGGAACGTTGTGCGGATGGCAAACATCAGGAATATTGAGGTGAAGATTATTAATCCTATAACTGACAGGACACCTTTTTTTTGTTTTTGTTTTTTTTTCCATTTCGGAATTGCTCGTGGAGCAGAGAACCCTGTGAGGATGTTTTGTATGATTGTGACACTGAGTGCTGTAGTGAGTATTTTTGGTGCGCTCTTATTTTTTTTATTTTTTTGTCTTATTATTCCTTACAAGTATTACCACAAGTGTTGCTATGCATGCTTTCCCGGGAGAGGGCCGATGTCACCGAACTATTTGCTTTGTGCATGAATTCTAGTCGGGAGTGCTGGAGGACGATACGGCGGAGGTGCGCGAGCGATGTGTTTGTTTTATGACGTAGCGAGACGAAGGAACAACTTTGGGATGTTCCCTGATTGAAGGTGAGGGAGGAAAGTCAGAAAAAGTCAAAGTATCCGAGCCCAAAGCTGATTTCGGTCTGCTTTAATAATTTGGCTGATCTCGGCCAAATGCCTCTGAGGTTGTCACGGTAATCACCTATGTCATATCAGATATGTTGAAAGTTTAATTTGGGATGTCCACCGCCCCCGCATTCCTCCCCCCCTGCGGGTTTCCTTTTGTAATAAGTGATAACAGTGCTGAGGCAGACCAGACCCACTGTAGGACACTTCAAAATGTTGCCTGTCAGTAGGAGGGGAAAAAAATTAAATATTGATGTTGGGTGCACAAAGCATTCTGTGCTTTTTCTTCGGATGGGATGTTATTTGAACAGCTGAGAGGGGGGGGGGGTAAAAAAAAAGCTTAACAATTTGAATGCTAGAAGCCAACTTTACACACAGCTGGTCTTCAACTCTGACCCCTGAGTCCTTGCACTGTGCTCACATCAAACTAGATGTTGGAACATTGTGATCAGGATGAAGGAAATGCGTGTGAATTGCATGCGGCCTCTTTTCTGTATCACATGCTGTCAAAGGTCGCATTTGACAAAAGTGACTATTCATTTCACTCTGTATTTCCTCACCATGTTTGATTTTTCCATCCTTGTATCTGCCTTATGTTTATTCTCCATTATTATTGAATGTATATAATAAACTGTTTGGTTTTTATACTGCTTTGTGGATATGAGTGATTGCTTCACCTGGATGCAACGAGCACATTTTCCGATAAGTTGCTCACTCGCGCTGTTTTTGTTTGCGTTTGCGTCGCTTGAATGGTGTCATCCAATCAGGAGAGAGCCTATTTGTCATACAAAAGGGAAAGGAGCACACGTTTCCATTCACTGCTGTGCGGTCTTCCGATTCCACCCGTCAGGCGCTTTCTTCGCAGCACATGAGCTCATATGACTCAGATGATAGATGGCGGCGAGTATTGTGCACCATTCATGCTGCTTCTCGACTTTTGCTCTGCACAAAATCGACTGCGTCTTCCTCCATCTCTCCCTTTTCTAATGTTTGCTAATGGAGAGCCGCGGGCAATCTGGAAAGCATCTTTAGCTGTAAATGTGCCGCTAATGGCTGCGAATTGGTCGGCTGTGGCGACAAGTCTTGTATGGCTGCTAATTGCACCGATGCGCAAGGGGACAATTGGCCGTTTGATGGGAATTCTCGCCGACTGATTGGAAGGGACGACTGAATGTGTTTGATAGGAGGGGATTTGTGAGGTCATCATTGCCCTTTGCACGTTGCGATGTCACTATAGCAGGGAGAAATGAAGTAGAGATTGTCATCCGTCTTCCATCCATACATATTCTACTGCTTATGCCGTTCGGGGTCACCGGTGACCTGATATTTATTCCATCGGATTTAACAGGGCTAGAATCCGATTATATCCTGTAGGTTTTATACGAGCAGTATTTTTGGGGTCGATCAACCAGTTTTAAACATCGATAACCCACCGCCCCAAGTCAGACAGAATCATTATTCTTACAGTTTATAGATTTATGTCATGTCGAATTTGTAAAATGCAATGTGTGGAATGTATTTTATGATTTTTGTAGTTCTTTATCGTCTTCTTTTTATGGATTCATTTTTTTTATATTTTGGGACACCGCTGGAACGTTTTTTTTTTTTTTTAATCTATCGCAGCCTTCTGAGACCGTGACTGTCGTCAACGCTGAGTTTTTGTTGTTTGTTGGTGTGCGAACAGTGCCCCCACGTGGTTGGACCGCGGCATTACCGCTGTGCCGCTTGCGAGGCATGCTTTTCGTTGGCTGTTTGTGCACCATCGGCACAGTTCGTTTGCGAGATAAGGTTGAACCAAAAAAAGAAAGCAGCGTTCAGGCTTTATATATCAAGAAACCTTTATTGACAACAGTAACTCGTCTTTAAATATACATTTACCAGGAAGTGTGCTATAACTTGGCACGTGACGACGTTAATCAATGAGTAGGGCTTGAGGAATCTAATCTTGTGCTTGCCTGCCCTTCTTTCCCTTTGCTAATGTCTACTGACTGACAGTTCCGACCCGTTCTATCACCTCAGGGCTGCTCTGTATACCATCTTGTTGAGAATAAATTTGCATTTGCGATGTTGCTTTACAGGTTTGCGTGGAGATGCAACAGCAGCTTGAATCATGACAAGAAACATGTGGAAGACGACAGGATTATGTGCAGTATCATACACGGTATTATTCATATTCTTATTTGGGGTTTTCTAATCTCAGAGGAGAACTCTTCGGGTTGCATGCGTGACGCACAGAACCGACGCGCACTTTAGTGCAGAGCTGCATACAAGGGAGAGCTGAGATGTCCCAACAGTTGCTAACTGGGAGTACACTAGGTTAATTTAGATTTTTGGTTTAGTATTTTTTTTTTTTAGATTTACATAATCATTTACAATAAAGTTACACCACTCTATAATTGTAGTTCTTTTTACAGGTTTGTATTATTGATCTTTTTCTTTGTGTGAGGACGGGTTGGAATCACAACATTCTTAGAGAGGCGTGAGGCGTATACCAAATTAGGGTTCATTGTTACTCCTGAAGTAGACCTCCTAAAAACAACCCTAATTATAGTCTACTATAAGTACATATTTCATTTTTTTCATCTTTCAGTCACACAGTATTTACAATTAGGCCATACATAAACATTTGTTTTTGTACCAAGTAAAAGAGCATTTTTTTCATGTACTTGTATGTGCAAGAAAGAGAGTTTAAAATTGTCCATAATATTCGTCATATGGTTCTCTGTAGTTGGTGCTCTGAGGGCGAGGAATGCTATAATCTTTATTGGGGTCAATTTCCTGCAAAACACACACAACCACACACACACACACATACACACGAAACATCAGTACAATTACAGTAACACTTGTTAAACGGTGCTGTCATGAAGCATACAGTGTGACTTAACAAGGGAAGGTCACAGTGCGCATTTACATGTGAGATGGTGAACCCTGACAGTTTATTACTTACGGTCATAGAGAATCCGGACTCGTAGGGCGATCGCAGTGTTGGATCAGATCGCCCGCCTGAAGGGAGAAATGTCACACATTAGCACATATCCGCCGTGCATTATTCACTCCTGCTGAAAGCTGAAAACATAGAAATGCTGCATTGTACTGTGACATATTTTATTTTAAATCATGTTTTTTCACTATCGTCTTAATATTATTTACAGAATACTATGCAAATGTGTTTATTCCGGAAGGAATTCGTTCATTATATACGTAAGAGTACAGCTCAGAATGCTGATCACTTCCTAGTTTCTTTCATCGAAAAATCATTTTTGATGATTTCTTTTGTAATGGGCCTTTTCTAGTGTGCCTCCATGAGAGGTGCGTTGCGTTGCCATTTGATGCTCATTTTTAGGTCAAGTTGAAGTCCTCCTGCTGCCATGGATGGATGTGCGCTAACATTAGCTTTAGCTCGTGCTAAACTGTCCTGCCGCATGTCAGTCAGGCTTTTTTTTTTTTACCTCATTTAACGTGCCTTCTATCTGTTTGATTTATTTGATGATCACATTAGCATCCAAGTTTGTACTACCCCCCGCCCCATCAACCCCTCCCCCAACCGCTATCGCCGAGTAAGTTTTGGCTCAAAGGTGGACGCTGTCCGCACCGATTCCCCCCTTCTATGGGTACTTTTTTCTCCATTGTCATTCTCATCCGAGACCTGCTACAATGTAGCGTCAGCTAGTAGTGAGGAGGACTGACTTGATGTCTGATTGTTTTGCCTGAAGTATCGATGACGGACATCGGCAGCCTTCGAGATTACCCGATACCTTGAAATAAGGTCTGCATCTGCCGTTACCTGGTATCGGTTCTCGCCCATCCGTATTTAATCCCATTACGGTCACGACGCTAAGTGGAACCGGTGCAGGCTTCTTACCTCTTCTGTTTTGTGGGTCATTCTCGAAGCTTCCATTCTCCGTTCCCGCTTTGGGACTGTTCAATCCCGGGATATCGGCACTGGGGCTGGTCCAGCCCGCAAAGCTCAGGGGCACCTCCCTGGACTTGGCCTCCCCCCTGCACAGGAAGGCAATTTGCGACAAGCCATGTCCCATCAACAACACCCAGCCGTTGGCGACCAATGCCATGGCGAGCGTCGGGTCGTCCCACTGCGGCCGCCGGCCGAACTTCGCGTTCCCTCTGCTGAGCATTGCAATCCACGCCACCCAGATGCCCGCGGAGAGCAACAGCGTGAGGAAGAGGAGCACAGCCTGTTGGCGACTCTGCTGGTGGGTGGCCCCCGCGTAGCTGTAGCTGTACGTGAAGCAGGAGCGACACAGGAAGTGCGTGGACAGTATCAAGCTGACGGCCAGGAGGCACAGGACGTAGATCTGCAGCATGACAAACTCGTCTTGGCTGTACTCGCACGGCTTCTTATCACGCACCAATACCAGGATGAGCCACTCCGTGGAGATGATCACCTGGACGGTGAAAAGCCCCAAAGCCATGGCGGGCTCGCCCCAGCCTCGGGCGGCCGCGAAGCCCAGCAGAGCAAGGCAGTGAGCCAGCAAGCAGGAAAAGGCCAAGGCGAAGAAGACGCCGAATAGGAAGAGCCTGGTGGGGCACGTCTGGGGGCTGAGCTGGATGATGAAGGAGAAGGTGATGGCGAAGATTCCGCCCGTGGCCAACAAGAACATGGACATGCAGGCCACCGTGCCTCCGATGTTGCTGCGTTGCTGCCGTAAGAAGACGCAGACCCACAGCGACCAGATAAGGAGGCCGAGCAGGAGGAACATACTGAAGAGGAAGCCCGAGGAGGCCAGGGTCTCCAGGATGATGCCCCACATGGCTTTGCGGTCACACAGGTACCTATAGAGAGGATCGAGTCCCGGGCCGCAACCCGAAATGGCCTCCCCGAAGGTGGCGTTTGAGGAGGAAGCGCTTGCGCTCCCGTTACTGATCGCGTTCGTTGATGTTGATTGAGTTAAACATGTCAAGGGGATGCGCAGGAGGCAGAGGAGTGCGAATGCCAACTTGTGATCCTCAGGTAAACCCACTGGACTCATTTTGGAAATGCACACCGGGAATTTGCTCCCTCCTTTGGTGTCCTTGGATATTTTCCCCTCCTGAAACGAAATACAACCTTAGCGTTAAGGAAAATCCATGTGTAGCGATGAGGGAGTAGGGACAAGCTGCTTCCACTCTTGTTGGAAGACTTTCGACCGGATTTGGGAGTGTGTCTGTGGGAATTGTTATCTGGATGTTGAACCTGAGAGAGAGAGAGAGAGCCTGCCTCACAATCTCCTCCGAGTTCATTCCAAAGTTGTCAGATAGGCTTCACCCACATCAAAGTCATTAAAGCGCATTGACCTTCCTTTGTGCAACGGGGCGCGGTCACACTGGGAAACAAAAGCTGCTTGCTTCAATTGTCCCGAAGGTTTGGTCCTCCCTGCGCACGCATTTCGTTTTCTCCAAGTCTTATGACTTCCTCCTACATTCGAAAAACACGCACGTTAGGTTCATTAAGGACTAAAACAACAGCGGTGGAGGACGGCAAACTGTGCGGTGTGAAGTGCACACATTGACGCTGCTCCTGCTTCCACTCGAGATGCGTTCTTATTTGGTTCAATTGTAAACCCGCATAGATAGACGCCGCATCTGTTTTTGAACAGGACATACGGACGGACTTGCTCCCGAAGAGGGCGGCGGGAATCGCTGTTGCTTCTCCCAGCCGACCTCAGGCGGAACAGTCCTTGAACTGATCGCCAGTCAGTGACAGGGCACATATCGAAGCAAACGACCACACACCCCCCACATTCACACCGTCACTGAGTGGGAACCGACCCACTTGGCGACTTCTTAGAAACGTAAAGAGAAAATGTTTCTCCTTTTGACTGTTTTGTCAACATGCTCGTCCCTCGTCCAAATTGAATCAATGCCTTTATTTTTGAAGAGGCGTGTCTTGGTCTCGTGTTGCACAGACTTGAGTCAGTCGACACGTTGAGAGTGAGAGGAAAGGTAACAGGCGGAGGGAAGACATAAACATGTCAGAACAAGGACGAGAGCTTTGAGCGAGGGCCACAAAACGAGATTGTTGCCCTTTCTGCTCAGTATCAGCTCTAGACTCGGCACAAAATGAAGATTCAGACAGCAGGGTGAGTCCATTAGATTTGTTTTGCGGTGCAGTTTAAAAAGGGGCTGTGAAAGATACTCCCTCCAGATAGTCGAGTACCGGGAAGTTTCACTTCCTGCTGGCTTCTGAGACATCCTTTGTTTCATTGGCATGTTTAAATGTGGTCTTTATTTGCATCAGTGGATTGATATGACCCAGGCTGTCCAAACCAATGTGCCCCCCCCTCCCCCCCGGCATTGAATGAAAACTCCATCCATCCATCTTTCACAGTGCTTCATTTGGATCACAAGTGAGCTTAAGCCGAACCCGGCTGAGTTCGGTCGAGTGCCATTTTAGAAAATGGCCGCCAGTCAATCAGAGGCCAGATGAGGACAAACAACCATTCACGTGGCTCCGGCGGAGTCTTCATTTCAACCTCACATCTGTTTTGAGAATATGAGTGCTACATAACAAAAAAAAAAAAAGAAAAAAACTGAAGGTGACCATTTTCCGTTCCTTGACGATCTTTAATGTGATGTCTTCATAAATGAGCCAGAGAGCACAAAGTGGAAGAAACTATTTTTTGCCTCTAAAATTGCAGTGCTTTCAAGATAAATTAGTGTTTTTCTTTTCATCATAAATGGTTTATTTGTATCTTGGAATATAGTGAAAAGTCCAACAGCACACTCTCCCTTCTCACTCGGCCCACCTTCACCATCTTTAACTAAACTTAAAAGAAAAATGGATAGTGGGTCGCAAATGGCCCCCGGGCCGTAGTTTAGAAACCACCGTGCTAATTGAATGCCTTTGTGATGTGTTGTCAAAGCCCAACCGCTTTGAGCTTTGTATCCAGCGCTTGTAATTTTGGATCTCTCGACTCCAGGTTACGCAGAAAGAGCCCAACTGGCATTAGCCGCAATCAATCACAAGAATTGACGCTTACCGTTCAATCCTCTTGTTCAATCCTATCCAGACTTGTTGCAAGGCACGATTCGTTGCTGCATCGATGCCTACTCAGCGTGTAGCCATGCGGACGTCTCTCATTCGGGGCATGTGCCCATCGCGCCGGTCGCTCCAAGATAATCGGGAAAAAAAAACACGAGGTGTGGACGCCGCGGAGCCACTGGGAGTGGAGTGTTCACACCTGGGCAGCACTACAAGAAACCTGCATCCCTCCTCATACTTTTCCTTTTTCCCTCCTCCTGTCTCCCGCCGTCTATAGGTGGGGCTCGCACACCTGGAGGAAACACGCACACACAAAGGGAGAGTTCATTCCTGCACGGTTTCCCTGATTGGTCGCAGGATTTGGAATCTACCTGGAGTGAGTGGAATTCCACAAGCGTGATTCTAATCCGAACCTGCCGTAAAAGCGGGTATGGGGCGGGGGTTCGAGTTGGGGTACGCAACCGTTGCCGTGGTTACACTATCATGAGAGTAACAATAGCTGACGGTTGAGGAAGTTGACCTCTGGGTATGTTGTGTCAAAAAATGAGAGCGCTGTTCTCTTACGCAAGACCATATGTCAGCTTTTAAGTCGTGTCAGGACAAGACGGGATGTCAAGTGGGTGTGTTTGCTTCAATCCCAGCTCTTGATTTCAACCAAACCCGTAGCAGCTTAAATCATATACAGAACGCGGGCAGAGTTTGTTTTGTGTAATAGTGTAAAAAAATCTTTTGGGGGTGTTTTGAAATGCTCAAAGCGGAGCGATTTACGACTTTGACGGTGTCGCTGCCCCTTGCGAAGCGTTTCAACATTGTGTTCATTGATGCGGATGGCAGAGCTTTATTTTGGAAAGCAAAAGCAACCATGGCAACCCAAGTGTGGGAAACTTTTGTGACGATTACTCATTCGGACAAAAGCTGTGATGTTGTTTTAATGATGAATTACGGTTCATCACAGAGACCTTGAAAAGACATGACGCAGACTGAGGCTTTGGGGTTTTTAGGGGGCATTTATGTTTTATGTTTATGTTTATTTATTCATATTACAAGGGCGGTGATTCAGAGACGATTAAACTATATTGATTTTATATTGTGTGGAGCTTTTCCGGATATGCTTGGATGCGGATAAATTATTTGTAACTGAAATAGTCATTTCTCTCCCTCTTCATAACTCGTCATTGCAAAGATCATTTGTGTTGAGAAGCGAGGTCAAGGCTCGATTCCCCTCTGAGCCTCCGCTTAGCTCTCGCTACCTCCTATTGGCCAACCCCAAAATCCGGAACTATTTACCTCGTCGCCTTCAACGGAAAGCTGCGATGTAGCAGGTTCTCAAAAAAAAAAACCCGATAATATGTCAACAAACAATCAATACGTCTTTCCAACAAGAACGGGACACGGTGAGTTCTGAAAAGAAAGCCATTTAATGGTACTATTAGGACGCGTCAGTTCACAGTACGTTTGCTCTGTTGTGTGCTTGCAACGCGTTTGTAGTCATGATCGTCTCCAAGGAAGGAAGGACGAGAGCATCTTAAAGGGGCTGAAAGGGCATTTGTCATGTTCACACTCTCCTTACACCCCACGATGTTTACCGTGACCTTGTGAAGTCGGACAACGCAGCATAACAAGAAAGGAAATACAAAAGGGTACACCGGGAAATAAGGTACCAAATATTTACACTTAAATAACCAGCTAGAAAGCAAATCAAACTAGTTTCGACCAGTTTTACTCGCGTCCTTTGGCGTGGGTTGGGGTGGTGGCACTCTAGTCATGTAAATGGAGGAGTCGGCAGGAAAGGGGGCGTGAAGTTTTCTCGTCAATCTTTCAAGAGTATTATATACTGTAAACAGTATGATATGTATAATAATATATATCAAAAATGAGTGTAATTAAGACAACCCTCTACTTAGTAGAGTGAAGCAAGAGGTAGGTGACGAGAGGGGCATTAAGGGTGGGGGAAGGGGGGGCGCCGGCTGCCTTATCCTGACGAGCCGAGCAGGGGTGGAGAAGAGGACAAGAGGAGAGCGAGCGGCTTTAAATGATGCCGTATTTGGCCAAGTCGCTGAGCTCCATGTCGCCGAAGGCTTCCCACGGGCACACCACCGTGATGTCCGTGCCAAGACCCTCCATGCCGGGGATGTCGTCGCCGAAGCTGCAAACGAGGGGCACAATCAACATTTTGTTTTCGGGAGGCCTCGCGTCTATTGCGGTGCGTCTCCAAAAACAAATCACCGAATTAGATGTTCAAACGACACATCACTTTACAGAGGCTGCGCGCAATGTTTCAATGCTAGCATTGTTGTTTTAGTACTAATCTATTGTATATTTTTTGGTTTTTGTTTTTTTTTACCCCTTCTGGCCTGGTTTGGGCGCCTTGCTCTTGAACGTGCGAGTCTGCCTCTGCTTGAATTTGGGTGGGCCCTTCTTGGGTGTAGTGGGGCCGGTGGTTCCACCAGGGGCCAGAGCGCTTCCTGCCGGTGGGCTGGCGTTCATTGTTCTCTAAAAAAAACAACCCAAAAACTTTTTTAAAAAACTCAAAAGATCACAACCAGTTATTGTGGCTTCACCCTCTCTGCCTGATTCCCTATAAATAATCCTGTTAGCATCTCTGCGCTAATCTACACAGATTATGCAGATGGGTTTCAACCCCCAGATTAACTGTAATCCGTTTTTGATCCGCTGAAAACTAATTGCCCTTCCTCGACAACAAGGATGCAGACCGTCCGCTACATTTCGTACGGCTGCCTGCAAAATGGAGATTGGCGGACCTGATTTGAACTCGTATCGCACTATCGTGTCACATAGTTATGCAACACAGCACATGCGGAATTGCTGCCTGAGATCCGCATCAAGATGAAGATGTTGCGATTTAAGAGCCACCTGTTTCCGCGACTGCTCGACCCTCTACACCTGTCACGACCGATTTTTCTTTTGGTTTGCAAGATTAACTGCTTTTTTTTTTTTTTTTTTTTTTTAACATTAAGTCTTTTTCCTGTCCTGCATCACAGGTTTTCATTCCTCACAAAGTTTAATTGAAAACCATTGGCATATATGCCGTCAGATTTGATTCAACCCTGCTACAAATTGAGACGTGCAGTAACAATCTACGTTGAGCGGTAAATTCAAAAGCATTGCAATCGTGCGTCCCGATTGTTAATTCTCACCTGTTGGAGATATCCCAGGGAGGCCGCCGCTGATCTCTCCTCCTCCTGCTTCTGTCTGTGTCATTTGCCGTCGGCGCCGATCTTTTATACCTTCATCTCTAATCCCTTGAGGCGCCTCTTTCCAGTCACGTGGTCACCAAAGGTCACCCAAACTCCTGCAGCACTCCCTCAGGCCTTGCGGTGTGAACCAAAGTCACAGGTCAATCTGTCGGGATTTGATCAGGTTTATCCCTCTAAAACCTCAGTACGCCTGTCATGAGATTTGCAGGAAAGAGGAGGAGAAGCTTCTGGTCGCGTTTCTAGTACATGTGCTCGGCTGAGCTACCACGTGCTTCTTTTTGTCCACGAATGTCGACACGAGTGCTTTTGTGACTTTGCACATAAGAAGAAACTCTTTAGTCAAAAAACAACAGTCAACAGCAGCACAAATCTAATGAGATCCAAGTTAGTTTTCTAAATAATTAAATCGTTTTGGTTGTACAGTGTTGTTAAATTGCAATGTCTGTTATTAATGCAAGAACACGCGAACTTAGGTCATGTTTTCTGTGAAGACTCGACTACATTGTTTGGACTTTGAAAAGTTTTAAAAGTTATTCAAAGGAATGAGTGACACATACTGTAGTATCTGTATCCATGTCAATACTGTAAATAAGAATAAGCTTTTTTTTTTTTCCTTTGTACCTGGTAGTCTCCCAAATGAGGGCAGCGCAACAGCTAAGCCTCTTGAGCCGCATGTAGGCTGCAGAGCGGAAAGAGTTACCCTCTTGAACACAGTACACACATCCTACATGCAAAGACCGGATCTCCAATCTAAAGGTCAGGAGCCAGGAAGTACCAGGCCCCACTGAGGCAGGTCATCATATCCAGCAGATGAGGCAACGCAGGGCATGCAAAAAAAAAGTGTACCTTTACACGTTAATGAAATAATGAACAGCGAGCTGAAGTTTTCAAGCGAAATCCAAATACTGTGGATACATAGCGACTGGTGATAGTCATCATAGCCAAGAATTTGGAGTACAGAGCACGCTGGGCATGTTCCTCTCATAGAAGGAGCCACACAATAAATAATAAAACGAATGATAAATAAGTACATCTCACTTCGGCGTATGGTGACTATTCATCTCTTATGTAAAGTACCTGAAGGCAGACGTGACATGAACCAAGGCATGAATGATCCGAGGTCATCGTCAATGAAGGGTGTCACAAACATATGCAGCGTCGAGAACGCCCCTATTGTGGGTCAATGGGTCAATCTTCAAGTGCAGCCATGCAAAGGCGCTAATACTGTACTGTTAATTAGATTAACGCGGGGGGCCTGGGAACAGAAATATAGCACAATAACAAAAAGGCTAACGTTAAAAACACAGTACACACCAAGGTTGGAGTGGCCTTCCTGTGTGAAGTTTCTCAATCTCAATTCGGAGACTAAACTAGATAACAGACCCTTTAGTTTCAATTCATACTTTCTCAGCAGTTTCCATTTTCAATGTAGCTCTTCCACAGCCAGCCACTCGGAGGTGCAGTGGCGCAAGTGGCATCGAGTAGCATTTGACCACCGACGAAGAATAAAATTCGACTTCAGAGAGAACAACAGCACTTTAACGTGTACCTTTCCTATTCGTGTCACGGGTGAGTAAAATGCACTAAAAAGTCACAAAAATAGTTAACATTGTTAAAACATTAGTACTGAGCACATTATGTCTGCACGAGTGGGAACTGAGATCGTTTTCGGTGAAAGTGTGTAAGCATGAGCGTAAAATGGATGCTAACTATGCTAATGCTAGCGAGTGTATAGCGAGAGAATATCAAGAAACTAAACGTGAGAACTGAAGAAACTGCTGAAATGTCTGTTGAACTTAATTCACTAAGACATTGAGAAGATATTTTCATGCATCTTTATTTTCTGGTCAGTTTTTGTAACAGAAAAGTTTCAATGTCATGTTTTCATATGGTCATTTTTTTGAATTGAGCTATTTCTTGCAAACTCATATGTGTGAAAATATCGTTCAAGAAGTATTACAGCATTTTTGGCGAGACTGTTGTTGGGGAAAGGGTACAGGTAAGTGTATTTCTTTCATCAATAAATACAATTATTTTGTACGGTTGATTAAAAACAACCGGATTGGAAAAAAAGAGGCAACAGTTCATATATAAATGATAGTTCGTGTGGCTAAAATGAACGAGTCGATTCATCTGTTGTGAAAATAGTATATTAAGAAACTAGATAGACATTTTGTTGCATCGCATTTAAGGTGAATAGATTGACTGTATTTTTATAACTACCGTGATGACGAGCGAAACTGAAAGCCAACAGCAGTTAAACGTGTGTCTCTCCTATTCTTGCCACAGCATTTGACCACTCGCTGAAGCATCAAGAAATATCGCGTTGCCCCACTAGCCACCAAGGCAGACCGGGCCACACTCATTTCCTAACAAGTACAGTATGTTCATTCAAGAAGCGTCTGAATACTTGCATACGTGAGTGAGTTTGTGAGTGCAAGCAAACATTTTATCTGCAGTCTGCAGTGAGGTTTCTGTTTCCCCCTTAAAAAGGCCAATGCGACCTTACATGCCTTTTAATGACATATGCACATATTTTGGGTGCACATTTGGGTTCAAACGAGTGCAAACAGAAATGAACGGCCATCTGAAATGATGAAATCTCATTTTATGGCGCAGAGATATTTTTAAACGACTAACCTTCTTAGACAAGAAAGTCTTGAGTATCGACCACAAGCACACATATTCTCGGAGTATTTAAAGACTGATGCACTCTCAACCAGACGTCACATATTTATATTTTCCTTGCCATGATAGCAAGTTTATGATTATGAACGTGTCTAATGCCACGAATGATTCGCAACAGCATGTGAGCAAATGCTGCAGAGTTGCGTCATCTTTCTCTCCGCTCCCATGAAACGTGCGTCGGCAAGCGAGAAGGTGGTCTTTGAGCCATCTAGAGCAAAGAGCTCAGACTGTCTGCCCTGAGCTAATTCGTAACTTAAGAAGTACTGTTCCTGACACTTGCACAGTTCATTCGGTGTCATGCAGCCTTCTAATAGGAATAATGGAACATTTCCTGGCCTACTTCCAACATTCACTGTTGCCGACCTGTGACTGGAAGGCACCCCAAGAAGCAGTACCCAAGCAAGATCTCAGGCTGTACGATGTACAGTAAGAACCGAATCAACAAATTCTCCCCCCAACACCCAAAACCAACAGACAAGCGGACCTCAAAAACAACATCACCACTACATGTCAGGATGGAAACACAACAGTTGGCAGCCAAAGTGGATGGAAACAAAGTTTATAGCAGTCATCACACACTGTGATGTCAACGTTTGCCCAGACTGGAATTCACTTGAACCGTTTAACATCCACTTTGTTTGTTTCTTGTTAGTTTTTACTTTTTCAAAAATGCTTCATTTGGATTTTTTTCCCCTTAGTTTCAGTCATGTTATTTCTCAATATCAAAGGTGTATTTATCAAGTGCAAGATAAGTGAAATGAAATTCTCAAACAACCGACCTTCCATAGTCCTTAGCAATGCATCATGGCAAGTCTGGCTCATAAAAATCATGCATCCGGACCAAAGCTTTCAAGATTTTTTCATTTTTGTGCGAGTACTTTGCACTATTCTTGTGTTTTCTCACTGAAAGAAACAAAAGATGCATTTGTTCCCAACCGTGCGCCTTTATGCTAACGAGTCTGCAATCCGTCGACATTTCTGCTGGAAGATTCAGTTGTCACACATCTTTTTGTCATGACTTCCCTATTTCACATAAAATTCAAAATTTGCCTTGTGTAAGGAATATTTCATTTCAGGACATCGGCATCAGTTTGGATTGGATTGGATACAACTTTATTGTCAAATCTGTCCGTTCATTCGCTGCGTGTTCCATTGGAGGTACTTTTGTTTTCACAACACCTTGCGTGTGAAATCATGTAAGAAGCTTTCTTTGACATTGTTACTGCTCAGTTCGGTTGACGTTTGAAAGTGGCTCCGGGGGACGTTGCGCTCTTTACTTTGTGTGTCAGGGTTATGTAAGCGTTGACGACACCCAGCTGATCAACTAATTGAATGTCGGGATTGCCCTGAATCTCATTGCCAAGGCTTAAGACTGCTTGTCGTCATGAGTCGCTCGTCAAACATTTTCCAGAACTGCTAAGCCCTCTGTTTGTCCTTTTGTTGAGCCTCAGACTATATTTTTATACTCGCCACTCTGTTGCAAAATTTGCATTCCGCTCATGATTTAGATTCACTTAGCAATGCATCATGGCAAGTCTGGCTCATAAAAATCATGCATCCGGACCAAAGCTTTCAAGATTTTTTCATTTTTGTGTGAGTACTTTGCACTATTCTTGTGTTTTCTCACTGAAAGAAACAAAAGATGCATTTGTTCCCAACCGTGCGCCTTTATGCTAACGAGTCTGCAATCCGTCGACATTTCTGCTGGAAGATTCAGTTGTCACACATCTTTTTGTCATGACTTCCCTATTTCACATAAAATTCAAAATTTGCCTTGTGTAAGGAATATTTCATTTCAGGACATCGGCATCAGTTTGGATTGGATTGGATACAACTTTATTGTCAAATCTGTCCGTTCATTCGCTGCGTGTTCCATTGGAGGTACTTTTGTTTTCACAACACCTTGCGTGTGAAATCATGTAAGAAGCTTTCTTTGACATTGTTACTGCTCAGTTCGGTTGACGTTTGAAAGTGGCTCCGGGGGACGTTGCGCTCTTTACTTTGTGTGTCAGGGTTATGTAAGCGTTGACGACACCCAGCTGATCAACTAATTGAATGTCGGGATTGCCCTGAATCTCATTGCCAAGGCTTAAGACTGCTTGTCGTCATGAGTCGCTCGTCAAACATTTTCCAGAACTGCTAAGCCCTCTGTTTGTCCTTTTGTTGAGCCTCAGACTATATTTTTATACTCGCCACTCTGTTGCAAAATTTGCATTCCGCTCATGATTTAGATTCAGACTTTGAAAACTTTACTTATCCAAGCGGGGCAATTAAGACCTGCGGAAATGATGTCACATACAGTAGATTATTTAAGTCATTCAAGTAAAATCAGAACAACATTGTTGTTCTGATTTTACAACTCCAGTCAAGCGGAGGGAACCTTCCGAGACGGTTAAAAAGTGAAATGTGTTTGAAGCGCGTTTGGCCGCTAGCGTGTGGGAACTGTCATGTGGGCGTTGGCTCCCATTAGAGTGAAGGAAGAAGGCCGCTTATTCGATTGGAGTGGCGAGCGTTCTCCTCTCAGAGGGGCAGACTAATTGGATAGTACTAAATCAGCGAGCATGACGCCGTCGTGACAAAGAAGGCAGCGCCGCTGGCATGAAAGCGATGGAAACGCAGGTTGCTGCAATTAGGGGAGACCGATGACGACAACGTGATGACCACTTGCACAAAATAACAATTTCCAATACACGAGCCG